AGAACGTGCACAAAAGTATAGAAACTCCCTGGGAGAAATGTTGATGCAGCCAAGACTTTATTTCCCACAACTTCTGAAGGCAACTTCTGTTCCATTAGTTGATTGTTCTTACTGTCAGGAAATTCCTCCTTATTTCCAGGTTGGATCTCTCCTTGATTAGTTTCCATCCGTTATTTCTCGTCTTGCCTTCTGGTGCTTTGGAAAATAGGTTGATTCCCTCTTCTTTGTGGCAGCCTTTCAAATATTGGACGACTGCTATCATGTTCCCTTTAATCCTTCTTTTCACTAGAGTAGACATACCCAATTCCTGCAATTGTTCATCGTATGTTTTAGCCTCCAGTCTCCTAATCATCCTGGTTGCTCTTCTCTGCACTCTTTCCAGAGTCTCAACATCTTTTTATAACGTGGTGACAACACTGGATGCAGAATTCCAGGTGTGGTCTTACTAAGGTTTTATAAAGTGGTAATGGTACTTTGCGTGATCTGGATTTTATCCCTCTGCTTATGCAGTCTAGGATTACGTTGGCTTTTTTGGCTGCTGCCACACACTGCTGGCTCATATTTAAATGATTGAACACTAGGACTCCAAAATCCCTCTCACAGTTACTGTTATTGAGCCAAGTTTCACCTAATCTGTACCTGTACTTTTAGTTTATCTTGCCTAAGTGTAAAACGTCTGTAGAGATTTTCAGTCATCCAGGTCATGGTTCTCCCTTTTTCAGGAGGCAACTGGACATATTCTTCTTCTTTTTTGGAGACATTTCGCTTCTCATCCAAGAAGCTTCTCCAACTCTGACTGGATAGTGGGGAATGGAAGGATTTATACTCCTTGCAGACAGCTGGTCATTTGCATCCTTTTAGAGGATTTGTTGAAGCACTTGGAGGTTTATCTGTGTCACCTGAGGAGTAAATGGAGAACTTTTATCTATGCAATTTGGGATGAACATCCCTCTAATGGTGTGGGAGTATGAACGGATTTCCAGAAAAAAATTGCAGACTCCAGGAACCATTAGCACTACTCAGGTGACCCTGACGACACAGATAAACCTCCAAGGATGCAAAGGACCAGCTGTCTGCAAGGAGTATAAATCCTCCCATTCCCCACCATCCAGTCAGAGCTGGAGAAGCTTCTTAGATGAGAAGCAAAACGTCTTCAGAGAAAAAAGAAGAAAGTTCCAGTTGCCTCCTGAAAAAGCACCTCTGAATTTCGTTTTGTGGGATAGAGTCCAGTGTCCGAGGCTGCCGAGATCCATCTGCATCTTGAGACTATCCTCTGGGGCGTCGGCTATTCCTGCCCTCTTAGCGTCATCAGAGAACATAGGTTCTTCCTTGGGCAGGGTGAGAGAAGGAGAAAGAAGCCAAAGAGCCCTGTGAGTTCCTGCCTGCCCCCTCTCCACCTTCCATGTCCTCAGCCTTCTCCTCCTTTGGTTGTGAAACTCAAACGCGAGAACCATTTTAATGGAGGACTATTTGAAGCTAGGCTGGGTTCCCGGCCACTTTGACCTTTTGGACAAGCTAAATTTGTTCTTCTGCAAACAAATCACATTATTTATAGCTGCGATGACAGGCCGTTCAGGGCAGCGGGGGCCTGCGGTCCAGTGGAAATGCGTACCCCATCCAGTCCTGGAAAACGAGGGGCACCGATTGGACTCAAAGGTAATGAACTATGATTGACAGTAATCCCAGCTAAAGAGGCCGGGATTAGCTGGATGTCATTACAAGGGACCCTCGTAACTCCAACCAGCTGCCGTTCTGATTGATGGAAGGATTTGGAATTGCTGAAACCTCGCCCCCTCCCCACCCCGCTTGGCACAGCGGGGTGCAGAGCACCAGCTGGGCATAAATAAACCCGCAAAGGTTATTTGATGGTTCTCAGCATCAGTGCCTCGAGGGCTCCTGCTACTACTCACACCTTCCTGATACACTTGGGTACCATGTCCCTTATTCCCTCCCTCCTCAACGTAAGGAAGCCTGTTGGAACAAAATGGCATCTGACTCGGAGTCTTCATGTAGGTGGTGCCAGGTTGCACAGATTGTGGTGTCAACCCTGAAGCTGACCTGACCAAAAGCCATTTTGAAGCTTCAGTGTTGCCACACTGGAACTGAGGGATAGGAAGTGGGGGAGGGGAAAGAGAGAAAGGGGTGGGCTGCTGGGGGTTCGCAGGGGTTCGGGAGAACCTCTAGCTAAGATTCTGTGCAGTTCGGAGAACCCCCAAATCCCACTCCTGGCTGGCCTGTTTTGGATGCATGTAAATGCAGGGTGCGCATGGAGGCTCGGGGACGGCGAAAAATGGTCCTACTGGAAGTTCAGGAAATGTGCCTGTTTTCGGCCTCCAGAGGGCCTCCGGAGCCCGGGGAGGGCAAAAATGCCCCCTCCCCCATTGTGGTGCAGGCCGACTAGGCCACACCCACCATGGCCACACCCACCCAGCAACCAGGCAGAGAACCCCTTGCTAAATTTTTTGAAGCCGACTCCTGAATAGATAGCTGGGTTTTTGTAGCCAAAAGAAAATACTTTCTTCTGGGAACCAAGGACATTCCCACAGGTAGCCAGAGAGAGAGAGGAGGAGTGAAGTTACCCGGCAACCGGACGGCACCGTGATTGGACCATGTGACTGTTTTGGAAAAGGGGAAAAACTTTTAAAACCGCGGGGGACTTTCAGAGTCGGTTTTCACCAGGTTGTGCCAATACGATATTCCCAATAAGACGATTCTTTGAGGAATCTACCTGTCTCGGAGTTTTGCTTGCTATGGACGTATTACTTGGAACCCTGAGATGTGGGTTAGGGAATCATGAAACCAAAGGTGGAAGAAAGGGTTGAATTTAGGAGGTTCGGCCCACAATTTTGTGTGGAGCGCACCACAATGAGGCTAGGGCTGGGTCGTCCTTCCCAGGGAGGAGGCATGACCTCTCCAAACGTTGGCGCAAAGCCCCCCCTGAAGTATTTCCAAGAACTCTGTGGTGTTCTCCTTCAGCACATCACAAGTCAGCAGGAACAGTTGGGGCCATGAGATTTCAGAATAACAGAATGATAAGAGTTGGAAGGGACCTTGGAGGTCTTCTAGTCCAACCCCTGGCTCAAGTAGGAGGCCCTGTTCCATTCTAGACAAACGGCTGCCCAGTCTTTTCTTTAAAACCTCCATGAATGGAGCTCCCACAACTTTTGGTGGCAAGCTGTTCCACTGGTTAATTGTTCTCACTGTTAGGAAGTTTCTCCTCCATTCCAGGTTGCTTCTCTCCTTAGAAGGACCTTTGGTCAACAGAAGATCCAGTAATGATGTGATGCTTCTTAGGCAGGCAGATGGACCAACGGTGTCCCTGCAAATGGAGCAGATTCCTCTCAGTCCTCCTCCTCTTGCTTTGAGCTGCGGCACCAAGGCCTCAGTTAAGATGGCCGGCTTGGATCGCGTTGCCCACTCCCCGGGCTTCATAATCCTCTCATGACATCCCCATAATTGCCGTTTTATTCCACTGCAATGTGACACCTCATAAGAAGACTTAAAGAGAAGGACTCTGGGGTCGGAGAAAGACTCTGGGTGGAGGATTCAGGGGCACGGCCATGCGTCAAGTTAAATTTGGAGTCCTTTTGCAGACTTTAGTGGAGTTGCTGTGGATTTACACCATAGTCTGAGCAGGTGTCAACAGCCAGCCTGACTCCCAAGCCATTAGGAAGCACCGTTGGCATTTAACTCTAACTGCCCAGGCCCAAATGCGTTTTGTGCTGCTTGCCAGGCTATCACTATGCTTCTCTTTCCTTCCTTCCTTCCTTCTTCTTTCTTTCTCTCCCTCCATTCCTCTCGCCTCCTTTTCTTTTCCTTTCTTCATCCCCTGACTATAAACTAACTAGCAAATGGATCTCCATGTTTTCCAGTCTCAGGGATGCTCTCTATTCCGATAACATCTACAAATCAAGGTAGGGTTAAGACGGAAGAGCAGAATCTAGTCCAAAAGCTTTCTTTCTTTTTCTCTCTCTTTTTCTTCTTTCTCCTTCCTTCCTTCCTTCTTTTTCTTTGTTTCTTCCTTCCTTCCTTCTTTCTTCCTTCTTTTTCTTCCTTCCTTCTTCCTTTTTCTTTCTTTTTCCTTCTTTCCTTCCTCTCTCCTTTTCTCTTCCTTTTTCTTCTTTCTTTCCTTCCCCCTTCCCCCCCCTTCTCACAAATCTACTGCATTCTACAAAATGCACCCATCAAATATCTACTCTAGTAATGGGAAGGGGCAAAAGTTTAGGTCTTTTAACTCTTGACTGAAAATGCACAACATGCTAAGCCAGGGCTCTCGCATCTGTGCTTCAAAAAGTTCAGAAAACCACTAGAGGGCAGCAGAGTGACACAGAAGTGAGCCACTCTTTGGTACCATCCTGTGGTCAAACACAGTTTTGCAGCTTCTTGCTGGTAGGCTTCCTGCCTTCTAATGATTAAGATGTAGTTGCCAAGTTCTTCCTGACACACAATGCCTTCCGTTTCCATAAACGTTTCCTTCTCTTCTTGATGCTATCAGAAAAGCTGTTTCCCCATGCGGTTTTTCAGAGAATTTAAACGGATTGCTGCCGTGTTTTGATTTGTGACTATGGGTTGACTACACTATGGCAGAAATAGTGGGGGGGGGGATCTCTCGGTTGTCATCATGTTAAGGCTTTTTCCTGTTTGGAATGTAGGAACCCCCTCCGAAAAACGGGGAGGGGTCATTTCTCTTTCCCCCAAATGGTTGCAAGAGGTTTAAACCCACAGGTGAAATTGGCGATAACCTTTATATTTCCTTTTCTTGCTGGAACATTCTGGGGGGGTAGGTGGGACATCCTGTCCAAAAGGAGGATTAAGAATGCCCTGAATCTGCAAATGGGAGCCTGAATTTGATGTGCTTTTATAGGCCAGCCGTGACTTCACAGTCAGTCAAGTAACAATGGGAAGGGGGTTACTAGTGCAGCAACTAGCAGCCAATGGGGCTCCCCCAAGGCTGGAGCAAACCTGGGATTGTGACTTAGGAAGTGATGTTCTGTGGTGCCAGGAAGGTGGTGCAGGCAAGGTATGGACCATCCCTGGTTTAAGATGCGCTGCCCCTTAAAAACCTGCGTGCCTCCAGAGGTAGGTTGGGGTTGGTGGAAGGAAGTGGCCCCAGCATGGCTGCTAAGTGAGGGTCACGCCTATATCGCAGCTGCCAATTCTAGAGCCAGCGTCTCAGTCTTTTTAACAACCCAAGACACAGAATTTGTTCATTTATTTATAAAAATTATAAACCGCCCGTCTGACCTTAACTTCAACATAAGAAACAGTATTATTGATTGATCGGTTTATAAAAAAAATTATAGGCTGCTCATCTTACTTCAAGGTCACTCTGGGGGGGGGGGGTTATTACATCCCATGCCTCACTCTTTCAGCAGTGGCCATCATATATGGTAGGAGAGATATTAATGGATCTCTTGAACTCGGTTTTCTCATTTGGCTTGACTCAAAAGACTACTAAAAGAGTTTGCTGGAAAGTCTGGATTTCTGCTTCCGTATAAAACAATGAGTGTCAACGCCAAGCAATTGAGAGACACAAGTGCCTCAAAAATAAGATATTAAAACTGGAGGCAGCTGAAAAATGTGGACCACAGTCATGGATGATTTCTTCTTCTTCTTCTTCTTCTTCTTCTTCCTTCTTCCTCTTCCTCCCCCCCTCCTCCTCTTCTACTTCTACTTTTCGGATCATTGAATGCCACTTTGCACAGTCAGCTGCATCTCCGGGGTGCAATCCACCAGCTTGCATGTCTTTGTTGATGGTGTCTCCCCATCTGTTTTGAATGCCCACGAGGTCACCGGCCATTGACTTCTAGTTGGCAGGCAGTCTTGGATACGGTGGAAGGGGCTGCTCTCTGGACATATCGTACAGTGGAGTTGGCCTTCTCTCATCTTCCCTGTAATTGGTGCCACATCAGAATGTTGTCGAATGGTGTCATTTGTGATGTGGTCGAGAAGGGAGATGCCCGATATCCAAAGGAGCATTTGCATTTCCATGGCACAGAAGTGGCTTTCGGTCCCCGTTGTTGCTGCCCAGCATTCAGTTCCATACAGAGCAACAGGGCGGATGGTTGAATTGCAAATCTTGGATTTAAGACAGGTTGGCATTCATCTGTCACATAACACACCAGTGAGTTCTCGCCAATGCATCCCGGCTGCCTTCTCCCTTGCTCGCACCTCACCCTTGATGTTGGCATTGCCGTGGAGGTGGGATCCCAGATACTAGAAAATGTTCACCTTCTTTCGGTTTCCTCCATTGATTTGAAGTGTTCCAGGGGTGGTGACAGTCTCTAAGTACTCAGTTTTCTTGATGTTGAGGCGGAGTCGAAAATGGTTGGCATGGACACTACTGTTGTAGCCCGCCAGCAGCCAGCAGAGCTGGCAGCAGACTCGGACAGTGAGGAGGTTGGGGAGGAACGTGGACCAGTCCTGGAGTCTGGGGAAGGCTCGGACGATGGCTCTGAATCGGAGGCAGAGAGGGGGCCAAGGCCATCTGGTAGTTCTTTGCTGCCTCCGAAGTCTGACAGAACAGCGGGAGCCTGTTCCCAGTGTCCACAAGTGCAGAGCTGCCAGGAGACATGAACAGTTAAGAAAACAGGGTTGACTTGGCAGTAAGGCTTGGAGATGACTGGCCCCTCCCATAAGACATAAAAGAGAAGCGAACGGGACGTAAGCTTTTGCAGGAAGCAATTAGTTCATCTGGTCGGTAAAAGCTGTGGAAAAGCTCTGTTTGACTCTGTGCTAAGTTTGGCCTTGCCCTGCGTGTGGCAATTAGTTCTCTGGCAGCATTCCAAGGGAGGTAAGGTGGGTGTTTGTAAACACTCCCCTGCAAGACTGTTTGAGAAGCTGTTGGGACTGGAAATGACAGTAATTCACAGCCGTATGAATTAAAGAGGTTTGCCGGGACTAAGTATGGGCTGTATACTTTCTAAGGAAGCTCAGTCAGAAGGTCTCCAAAAATGGGATGACGTGACCCCGGGGATATTCTGCAAGCGTCATAAATATGAACCAGTTGCCGAGTGAATCCAAATTTTGATCCCGTGACCATGAGGATGCTGCAACGGTCTTAAGTGTGAAAAACAGTCATAAGTCACTTTTTTCAGTGCTGCTGTAACCTTGAACGGTCACTAAACGAACTATTCGTTAAATCAAGGACTACCTGTACATTCTGCAGGGATCTAATTTCTCTCCATCCCATTATGAGATGAGATAAAGCAAAACTGCACAATGGAAGCAGGGATGAGATCTGTTGTTGTTGTTCAGTTGCTAAGTCATATCCGACTCTTCGCGACCCCATCAATCACAGCAGGACCCCCCACCCCATCCTCCACTGCCTCTCGAGTCTGGCCAAAGCCATGCCCACTGCATCAATGATATTATCTAATCATCTCGTCCTCTGCCATCCCCTTCTCCTTTCGCCTTCCATTTTTCCCAACTTCAGGATCTTTTCCAAGGAATTCTCTTTTCTCATTGGATGGGCAAAGGATTTGAGTTTCAGCTGCAGGAACTATCCTTCCAAAGGACAGTCAGAGTTGATTTCCTTTAGGATCGAGTGGTTTGATCTCCTTGCAATCCAAGGGACTCTCGAGAGCCTTCTCCAAATTCAGACTTTTCGGTCAACTCATTACCCAGAGCTCCGATTTAATGATGTGGTGAAATCATGCTCTAACAATGTCAATCATGAGCTTCCTACCTACCCATCCCATGAATCCTTACTCCAGACTCCCTCACTTGCTAAGTAGTCCAGAGATGGTGGAAAGGACTTGGAATTCTGGGAATGTCTTAGAATTCCCAACTGGGATGCTGGCGGACTCTTTTCCCAGGGATAATTTGAGGCTAGGAAAGACTTACAACCCGTAATGAACTTGCTTGTCCCATCCTGTCCCCCTTTTCAGCTCCTTTTTTTTTTAATGTTATAGATTTTCAGTTCTCCTTTTTGAAGGACTGTGCCTATCATTTTGTGGAACGCAGAATTCCTACAAAAATAAAGCTGAAATTTTATTTTCCTCATAAGATCCAATGAATTGATATGCAAGAACAGTCGTAAGTTTAAAACAATCGTTTCCTCTTTCCTGGCTACCCTTTGAACACCTCTATCATTTGTGCTTCCATTCCAGAGACCACCGTCTTAGATATGGCCATAGCCCCTCTGCTTTTCCTGGCTGCCCTAGCATTTGTCCATCATCCCCAGTTGGTCAATGACATCACAGATCTGACCACCTTGAATCGTCTCCAGGAGCATGAGAAGCGGCTAACGACGGAGATGGGGCTTCTCCAGGTGGAAATGGACCAGAAGAACTGGAACTGGGATCTCAAACAGAATCAGGAGCAGTGGACTGCAGAGGACCTCGACGAGGGAGATGGCACCTGGGATGGGTGGCCTTATGTAGGGGTTGTCATCCTCATCCTCTTTGGATGCTGCAGACGCACCATCGCGAAGGAGCCCAGCGACGATTCCAGCACAGACGGCTCCAGCACCACCAGCACCACCAGCAATGGAGAAGAAGACTTTGAAGACTCCGATCCGGAACCGGAAGATTACGAATCGAAGCAGAAAGGGTTGGAGGCTTTTTATGAGCAGCATATCGAGATGGGCGATATGTCCAGCTTGTGCGATTTTGTGGAGATGTTAGTGAACGATGTGCTGGAAGAGAGTCGGGATCAAAAGGTACTCCTGCTGGAGAACTGCATCGGGGTGGGCAGCGCCTTTGAAGGATGGTCCACGGAGGTTTCGAAAACGTTCTGCGTCCTTGTGCCTATATTGCCGCCCAAGGGCCACTCCTTCCACATCGAAATGAGTGACTCCGAGGGCGCTTCAGGCAAGCATGGCCACATCTTGGTAGAGGCAGAGTGTCTGTGTAAAAGAGAGAGGCTGCTGGGTGACGTGGTGTGCTCCCTCCATCATCCGGAACGGGAAATGAGCCAAGAAGAGCAGAGTAAATCCATTTCGCATGTTCTTTGCACCAGTTCCCATCTGGATGGGGAGAAAACCGCCCAGTGGTTCCAAACTCTGGTAAGCAAGGCCTGGGACGGCCTCGGCCCAAAGTACAACTTAAGTCTCACAATCCAGAATTCCAACAAAAGCTGCCGGCTGAAGCTAGAACTTCAATCCAGGAAGGAGATCTTTATCGATATCTTACTCGGAGTGCAGCAAGGAGACTCTCTAATCTTCCTGACCACCGGAGAGGACCTGACAGACCATCTAAACGGCATGGTTTGGCGTCGAAGTTTTGCCGTTCAGGAGCTGCTCTTCTTCAAATGGGTGAGCCAGCGAGCTCCCAAGGACAGCTGCCACCTGAAATGTCTTCAGATCTTGATCTTTTTTAGAGAGTCTAGTATCCCAGACAAGAAGAACCCGATGCTCACAAACTACCATTACAAGACTTGTTTGATGCACCTCTTACTTCTGGGGCCTCTGTCCTCCTGGGAGCCGGAGCGAATCGCCCAACGGCTTCAAGATCTCCTCTTGTATATGAATAGCGCCTTGGAAGAAAAGTATCTCGAACACTTCCTCATCGGCAACATCGCTTTGCCTATTCAAATCCCTCTGCCGAAGAACCTCCGAAGTGCTGTCCCCTTCAACCTTTTTGAGTATTTGGCCCGAAGCCCGGTCCTCCACGATGAGGCAATAAATGAGTTTGTGCAGGTGGTAGAGCAGGTGAGGACTCTCTGGTTAGTGCCTGAAGAATAGCAACTCTCAACTCCATTTTGAAAGGCCAGTTTCTTTTGGCTCATCCCTGAATCACGTTATCCTTAGCGGAGCCGAAAAGGTGGGGAGCATTGTTTCCAGCACGTGAAACAAAAGCTGGATGAGAGATGTATCACATCGTGGATGGTCCTGGAATGGTTATTTGGGTAGGCTTCAAAATTATCTGGTCGACGGCCGGTAGCGCTTCGAAGAGCCCCTTCAAGTAGGATCAGCTTCCTAGAGTCAGCTATTCTTCAATATTTTTCTACATTTCAATCCCAGACAAATTTGCTCTATTAGACTTGAAATAAAGGTTCCTGCAAACTCTGCTCTTAAGCTTCTTACAGCATCCTTTCTGGGCTTATAAAATCAGAATCTCCTGCCGGTTTTCTGAGTTTTCAACTTTTCCAAATGTTTTTCTTTTTTATTTTCAATCAATATAAGTGCTTAGTGAACATTGCATTGTCTGAGTTATTTTACTTATACAGTCCAATATTAATAACAATAATACTAATACTAATAGTAGTAATGATGGTATAGTTTTTGCTTATGTATAATCATATATAATAGGGATGCGGTGGCTCAGTGGCTAAGGCGCTGAGCTTGTCGATCGAAAGGTCGGCAGTTCAGCGGTTCGAATCCGTAGTGCCACGTAACGGGGTGAGCTCCCGTGACTTGTCACAGCTTCTGCCAACCTAGCAGTTCGAAAGCACGTAAAAACATGCAAGTAGAAAATTAGGGACCACCTTTGGTGGGAAGGTAACAGCATTCCGTGCACCTTTGGTGTTTATTCATGCTGGCCACGTGACCACGGAGACGTCTTTGGACAGCACTGGCTCTTCGGCGTTGAAACAGAGATGAGCACCGCCCTGTAGAGTCAGGAACGACTAGCACATATGTGCGAGGGGAACCTTTACCGATATATAATCATAATCTTTCATTATTTACCTAGTAGTAATCTTTTATCTACTAATTTCTACTTCTGTTACCTAGCCACTGATAGAACACATCCCATGTTGAGAAATATTCTGATTCTTCCTTATCCTTTATTTTTAATGTCGATCTCTCCATCTCTGCACAATCTAATTTCTTTTTAATTATCTGTAGGAGTATCCTCATTCTTCCAATATTATGCAAATACAATTCTAGCCGCTGTCAACACATGTAATATTAGATATGTATTCAGTCTACTTCAGGCTGAATACAAACACCTATTCAGCCGTTGGTTCAGCTGAAGCCAGAACTGCACTGCTGTCTTTGTGTGTGTGGTCCTGTCCATCAATAAACCATCTTTCCAATCAGCCTCCATGTTGATCATTATCTTCTTTTAACGACCCCATAATCCCTTGCAGGATGGAGTCTGGGCAACTGAATGGAGCTAGCACAGTGTTTTAATGGCCGGATGCTCTTCCTGTCGCCAACGCGGAGCTTTGTTCAGCAGATATATTCTCAGTGTTCCCAGGGAGAGAAATATCTGCCTCTACCTAGGATCTACAGGATGCTCCTAGCAAATAAAGCATTAGTCACACTCTTTTTTCAAATACATGTAGTCCTCGACTTACGACCCACAACTGAGCCCGAAATTTCTGTTGTTAAGTGAATTTTGCTCCATTTTTATGGCTTTTCTTGCCACTTATTCAGTGAATCACTGAATAAGTGCTAAGTTAGTGACCCGGTTGTTAAGTGAGTCCGGCTTCCCCATTGACTTTGCTTGTCAGGAGGTCGCAAAAGGGGATCATGTGACACCCCCCCGGGACACTTCAGCCGTCGTAAATGTGAGTCAGTTGCCAGTATGGGAAGAAAGGAGGGGGGTTGGACTAGATGACCTACAAGGTCCCTTCCCACTCTTGTCATTCTGTTAATGAACCAGTTGCCATTAATCTGAATTTTGTCCGCTGTGAAAACTATGAAAAACGGTCACGAGTCACTTTTTTTCAGTGCCGTTGTAACTTCGAACGGTCACTAAACGAACCAGGGAAATTCGAGGACTTCCTGTAAGAGGATTCTCTTGACTTTTTTCTAGCTCTATGCACCCAGCGTCGTTCACGTCACCTGTTAACTCCGCCCACCCCATGACGCGCCTCTCTAAACACGCTCCTTGCGTGATGACGTCACGCACCCGCGGCGCCTGCGCAGTGCAGCCGCGGGGCGATTCAAACTGGCGGTGTCTCCAGAGCGAGAATTCATGGCCGACGAAGCCGGGGCGAGAATTGTCGCCTGAAAGCTACGAGCGGCCGCCGACTCGTTCTCCCGAACTCCGGTGAGCGGAGCGTTTTGCGGGCCAAAAACGGGAATGAAGAAATTAAAAACTCCTGCCTGAGGTAAAGTTCGGCAGCTTGCGACTTTCAGCGGGAAGATGGGAAACGCGCGCGCGCAAAAAAAAAAGGGGGGGAGGGGCGGGAGAAACGTCGCCTAGGGAACTGCGCGCTGATTGGTTCTACGTGAGGAAGGGCGGGACTTTGAACTGTTTTCTGATTCGACGGTTCAATCGGATCGGCTGAGCGCGCAGACTAAAACCCGCCGTCTGATTGGCTTTCAAAAGAGCCAGGTTGAGTGATTGAGGCGGCTGCGTGGGCGGGGAAGCAGCAGCGGGGTCCACGAATGGGAACTACGACTCCCAGAATGCTTAGCTACGGGATGACTTCCGCATATTGCAATTTTTTTTCTATTTATTTATTTATAAAAAAATATTTATTTTTAATGTTTTTTTATTCTTTAACAAACATATCAATGCGTGAACAGTGTGGCACCTGAGTGTCATTCATTCTAATACGAATTCAACTAGTAATCACAGTTATTACATTCAATCAACTTATAAATTTCTCTTAATAATACATGTTAAGTTACAGTCTTATCATTATCCAATTGTTCCTTTTTTTCTCGTTATTGCTTTTATTTTATTATATAAAAATGTGTACACTGATATCCCCCCCTTCTCTTATTTCTATCTGTGATTGTAACTTTTAATCATGTCACCCTTATATTAAAAAACATTTTCTTTCTATCCTACCTAACTTCTAGTCATGTTACCTACCCAACAAAAGAAAAGAAAGCGAGAGAAAAGGAATAGAATAGAATAGAATAGAAGAATAGAATAGAATAGAATAGAATAGAATAGAATAGAATAGAATAGAATTGCTTAATGCATTGTAAGCTGCCCTGAGTCTCCGGAGAAGGGCGGCATATAAATCAAATTAAAAATAAAAATAAAGAAAATAAAGAATTCTTTATTGGCCAAGTGTGATTTGACACAAGGAATAGAATAGAATAGAATAGAATAGAATAGAATAGAATAGAATAGAATAGAATAGAATAGAATAGAATAGAATAGAATAGAATAGAATAGAATAGAATAGAATAGAATTCTTTATTGGCCAAGTGTGATTTGACACAAGGAATAGAATAGAGTAGAGTAGAGTAGAGTAGAGTAGAGTAGAGTAGAGTAGAGTAGAGTAGAGTAGAGGAGTAGAATTCTTTATTGGCCAAGTGTGGACACACAAGGAATTTGTCTTCGGTGCATAAGCTCTCTGTGTACATACAACAATAGTGATAGATCATTTATCATAGTCGTAAAAATACATTCATCATAAAACATTAGATACAACATTGATCATCATCATCATCATTTAACAACCCCCTGAATGGAGCGAGCAGAGTGTTTTACTGGCCGGATGCCCTTCCTGTCACCAATGCAGAGTTTTGTTCAGCAGATATATTCTCAAGTGTGTCCAGAGAGAGAAATATTTGCCTCTACCTAGGATCGAACTCGCAGCCTCCTGATTGTGAGGCAAGAGCTCTACTTCAAGGCCACCGCACCACTCTAGATACAACACTTGGTGAAGGATACTAAATAAGCAATCCACATAAACCATACTAGGGTGCTAATTACACAATTTAAATTGTAAGGTTCAAGCAATTTGTTATAGTCATAACAAGATAAGGTAATAGGGAAGATGAGAGTAATGATGGTAAAATACTGCCTTTCTAGATAGTTTGTCAGTGTTGTGGGAATTAGTTGTTAGCAGAGTGATGGCATGGGGGAAAAACTGTGTCTAGTTGTGACGTGCAGTGCCCTATACCGTCATTTTGAGGGGAGAAGTTGAAACAGTTTACGTCCATGAGTTTATACTCCATCCTCTTCTAAATTAAACAGTTATTTTGTAATGGCTATGCCATACCTTCAAGGTTTTCTTCATCATCTTACTGAACTCGGTTTTCTGGGAAGCCTGTAGAAAAGCGTCTGCGTCAGGGATGGTCCCTTGTCACATTCTAGGTGCCCCTGTCAGACTTGCCAGCACTTAAATCTCTCTAGTAGTTCATAAATTGCTCAGTGCTGTAAAACATTATATATAAGCGGTATATAAGTAAGTGCTATTGCTACTTAATGGATCTGCAGTTTAGTTGCTTTTAGCCTCTTTCTCCTAAATGCAACGATCCTTGGCTCCATTGGTTGAAAAAGGTATAATTTTATTTGCATAGCCAGAACTGGGAATCATGCACCAAAATCCCTAAATTCAACTTTTCCCTCCCTTAATTGCCTCCCAGCGCTGACCTCCCCATGACCAATCGGGTTCAAATGATGTTTTCAGAAGGGACATTTCAAATGTACAGTAAGCTGGTATGCAGCTGCCTTCTTCTCCCAGCTGGGTGGCTTTGAAGCAGCATCTCCGGGAGATACAGAAGTTACTTTTGCTTTCCCCCAAGCATTCCCCATCCACCCTCCCTAGAGTTTATGGCAGACTGTCATCTCATGGTAGCGAAGCACACAAGCATAAATTGGCATCTCACCACTGCTCCGTTCCAGCACCCTATCCAACATTGACAGAAGTGAGGATTGCTGAGCATTTTCCCCAGGGCCTACAAATTTCCAGTCTCTAATTGTAAATAGTCTGGGTTTCTGGTCTATCAGCCAGAACCTCTGTCTGATTATGCTTCTTTTTTTCCTAGTGATCATGAGCTTTTCAACACCACAGTCTACTGGCTCCAGAGGCAGTGCCTCTTCCGGCAGTGTGTTTATATCTCCTGGCACCAAGCGACAGCCGCTTAGTGGCTCTGGCACCCCAGTGCTGCAGAACTGCCCGCAGAACGACGATGAACGGGAGAGGAAACAGCGGAGACGCTCCAGAGTGTTCGATCTACAGTTTAGCACTGAGTCGCCTCTGTCCATACAGTCTCCCACTAGCAAGTAAGAGCAATTTTTACACACAGAAACACACACACCTCTCCCAAAAAAAGAGTGACTGTGTCATTGCACTGGAATATGCAGGGGAGGCTAGGATACACTTTGAAGGTTTTAAGGAGGTGGGGCTTTTAAGCATGATTAGTTTACAAAAATGGCCCAAGTTCAGTGGATGGATGGATGGATACATGATAGATAGATAGATAGATAGATAGATAGATAGATAGATAGATAGATAGATGGATGGATGGATGGATGGATGGATGGATGGATGGATGGATGGATGGATGGATGGATGGATGTAGATGGTACGTAGGTAAGTAGATAGATAGATAGATAGATAGATAGATAGATAGATAGATAGATAGATAGATAGATAGATAGATAGATAGATAGATAGATAGATAGATATGTAGATAGATATGTAGATAGATATGTAGATGGTGGAGATAGATGTAGATGATAGAGATAGGTGGATGGATAGACGGACGGATAGACAGAGCCTTATCCATGCCCTTATGTCTGCACTTGTCTTGTAGGCAAGCAGAAACATCGCTGCCAGCAATCCCACAATTGTCCAATGCTCAGATTGCAGATCATTACTCCACATGCATCAAGCTGTCAACAGAAAATGTGAGTTAAACGTCTGCTTACTCCTTGCACCTTTTCAAACGAACTGTTCAGACTAACTACATTAGGACCACATGTTCCATGAAAGTTCACAAAATTGTTGACATTTCACTTGGCTGTGGGAATTGTGAGATTTTTTTTATTGATATATGTATGATACTCAGCTTTCATGCCCAAGGAAGGACCAGAACTCCCAGTCTCTTGGCTTCTGCTCCACCAACTTAATTTCTGCACCAAACTTTCTTAGGTTCCTTTTTTGTAAATCAAGAGATCAAAACAAGTTTTAAAACATTTTCTGCCTGAAAAGAATAGGGCATATCTAATGAAATCTTAAAACAAGGGCGGGCCTAACACAGACCTTTTCTTTTCTTTTTCTTTTTTTTTGAAGGCGACTGCTATTTTGTGTGTGTGTATGTGTGCAATTTATGTATGTGTGTACGTGCATGCCTACACATCTTCACAGCCCTTTTGGTTCGGCCCTCCATAACTGTTTCTGATGTGGCCCATTGGGAAAATTATTAGCCCTAGCGGGATCTTCAGAGACCCAGGACTACGGTCTCGAATATCCAGCTGAAGTCACTGCCCTCCCTCTCTTTAAGGCAGAGTTTGTGACAGATATTTGTTAGTATTGTTGTGGTTCCCTTATAGTCCTTAACTATTAGTGGCATTTAATATTAAGTGGTGCTACTCAATTTTAGGCAAGGAATCCAAAATCTTAAGACTGTAGGCTTGCTATTTCACAGAGATGAGATTGCTGAAATTTTTTTGAGTTTGGTGACACGCACAGTTGTAGTCATGGTTTAAACATACTGTTCACCACCTTTTGTTGTTGTTTTAACTGTGTCTTGCTTTCCAGAAAATCACCACAAAGAATGTATTCGGCTTACACCTCATTGACTATATGACTGAAATACTCAAGCAGAAAGATTCCGAACTCACCAACTTCAAGGTCACGTTTCTTCCTAATTCGACTTCCTTAGATGTATATAGAATCTGAACAGCAAACGTTGGGTTATCTTTTGTATTGCGTGTTGTGCCCAACTGGTTTGAAAGACTCTGATGACTGGGCGATGAGCACAAAACTTTTCCTTTTGGTTACCGTATTTTTCGGAGTATAAGACGCTCTGGAGTATAAGATGCACCTTAGTTTTGGGGGAGGAAAATAAGAAAAAAAAACATTCTGCCTACCAGCATCCATTCATCTGGCTAGCGTCCTGTCAGTGTGTGAGACTGTTTGGAAACTAAAAGAGTATTTGCTATTGTGTGAGCAATAAGGAAGGAGACAGCCAGGAGCCTGGGCGTGGCTTAGCGTGTTCTAAAGCTGCATGCTGTGCTGATCTCTGAAACTGAAACTCCTCTCCTCTGCTTGTGTTTTGCTTGCTGTTGCAAACTGACAGTCCTTGCAGCAAATAGCAAACAGCCAGGTCAGCTTCAGCACATTATTGCAGCCTGATTCAGCACGAGCAGCTGATTGGCGGGTGGATCGGCCTCTCAGAATACCCCCAATCAGCTGTTCCAGGCTGCAGGGATTGCCATAGGCCATCACCTACGTGCCTCGCAGTTTTGGCTACATTCGTTGTATAAGACCCACCCAAATTTTCACCCTCTTTTGGGGGGGAGAATGTGTCTTATACGTCAAAAAATACAGTACATTCCTTTCAGAAGAACCTTCCCCTTCCGATACCTGGCCAGCATTATAGAGATTCTAGAGATTTATGGAATAAATCTATCTGGAAGACTGTTAGAAATAGGAAATAAAGATCAGCCATCCCCACCTCCCACCCCACAAACAAACAGGTGGGGTCTGTCCACCTTCTATTTGCTCCTGAGACTCCTGGGGCTTACTCCATGTCCAAAGAAAGACTTGCAAAAGTAACTGTTGCTGAATTTTGAAAACAATGATTGATATTCCTGGCCCTTTTTCTAAATTAAGCTGATCTTCCATGTTGGTTTTGAAAGCCCTAGTTTCAGGTGAACTGGTAGAGTAGAAAAGAAAAGGGAAAGACTAAAAGCTCAGTTGACTTATTACTCAAATACATTTAAGAGATAAACTCTATTCCCAGGTTGGGATCTATGACATTTCTTTACATTTGCGTTTACAGGTAGCAGCTGGTACCCTTGATGCCAGCGCAAAGATCTATGCAGTGAGAGTGGACGCTGTCCATGCAGATGTTTATCGCGTCCTTGGAGGGCTGGGCAGAGATGCTGCACCTGCAGAGACTGAGAATAACCAGGATACAGGTGGGCCTTTCGTTGCTATTAACTGAGCCTATAATTCGGAATAGTTTAGCTCTTAGAATCCTCTCCCCTGATTGTAGGATTTATTTCTTTTTCATTTCCTTTGCTCATTTGAACATCAGAACAATAAACAAACATTGCCCTGTTCTGACCTAAGCTTCCTTAAAAAGCATGAAGCAGAGTCTTGGTCCCGGCAAAAACCCCTTTTATTTACACGACTGTGAATTCCTTTCATTCGCAGTCAGCAAGGCCTGGCAAACAGTCTTCCAGAGGAATATTGATCAACACAAACCTTATCTCGCTTGGAAAGCTGCCAGATAACTAGTTTCCAAACGCAGTGTAAGGCCAAACTTGGCACAGAGTCTCTTAGAGTCACGAACAGAACTTTCCACTCTTGAAACTACCAAGCGAACGAATGAATTATTATCATTGTTAACAGGCATAATGTACAATTTTCAGGATAGTGTTGTATTATGGCACCCAAACCAGAATTTGAATAAGGAGATTTGCTTGAAAGTAATTGTTTTCTAAACAACCTGATCGTTGGGGTGTTGGATTTTCTAAATCGTATTTGACAATATTTTCAGCAAGCTTTTGTTAAAAATGCTGCAGAAAATTCCACTCCTGGATTTTCCTCTTTTTAGGTGGCGAAAAGGAAGACTTGGACCATTCTAAGAAGCGTCCGATTAAGAGGAAGCATCTGTACAAAACCATCGAGCAAAATTTGAATAACATCAATGTCTCCGAGACGGAGCGCAAATGCGAGGTGAGGCCTCTATAAAAGTGACTCTTTTTTAATGTTTTATTAAAATTTATTTTAATGAACTGCTTTTGGAGTAAAAATACATCTAAAGACGGTTTCTATTTAAGATACATTTATAATTTAGTTTATTCAGCATGAAATGGAGCTTAGTTCTGTAGCAATGAGGCTGCATATTCTGCAATATTGGGACTGTCGGTGAGTCAACAGCGGGTCAGAGGAGGAGCCGCTGCGGGACAGAGATGACAGTTGCTCTTTAGAAATTACAATTTAAATCGAGTTGATTTAAATCGAGCCTCTTTTACTAGTGATTTAAATCATGATTTAAATTGACTCGCTTTAAATCCAATCCACCCTGCTCTTCATTCAGCCACGTCTCGTTTTTTTCCTGGTTTTATCTTCAGAGTGATCCCATGTTCCAAAAAACGGCCTCGTCCTTCGATGAATGCAGTACGGCTGGGGTGTTCCTTACCACGCTCCACACGCACAGCTACCTCAGTGAAGTCCTGTTCGATTCCACGGTCGTCCCTCTGCCGTCTTCTTCTGGGACTTCTGAGATACCAAGTTCTTCTCCTGTGAAAGTGACCGATTTAAAATGTAGGTGTGACAGATAGGCCCTAACCCTAACCCGGGGGTCTGCAACCTTAAACACTCAAAGAGCCATTTGGACCCGTTTCCCACAGAAAAGAAAACACCGGGAGCCACAAAACATGGGTGGGCGTGGCCAACTCGATGTCAATCACTTCCACCAGTCATATGACCCCCCCCCCAGCCACGCCTACCCAGCTTGTCATTAGGGCAGAGAACTGGTTGTTAAAAAACACCGGGAACCACAAAGCCCTTTTGACATCACTCTCTCCCTCCGTCCCTCCCCTCTCTCTCTTTCCCCCTCTCTCTCTGTATCTCTCTGTCTCTGTCCCGCTTGCTTCTCCATCCCCCGCCATCGCCCTTACCTTCTCAGGCCAGGCGAGGAGTGACTGGGAGGGGAGGACGAGGGGCGGGGCCAGCCAGTGGTGGGATCACCCGACAGGGAGCCACAGCAGAGGGCCCAAAGAGCCTCATGCGGCTCCAGAGCCACAGGTTGCTGACATCTGCCCTAATCCTAAATCTAATTATAATAATATATATTTTGAGTGTGTTACTATTGGTACGGAGCAAGAAGGACAAAAATCACGTTCTGTCTTCCACCATTTCTGCTCTAACCCTTGACCTAAATGCAGTTCATAGAAATTATGATATTATGAAATTATGTTGTTCCCTCCCCTTTTTCCCTCCTCTTTCTGCCATTCCAAATTATTAATGTTCAAACTTTTATTTCAAGGTTAATAGGTAGCATTCTACATACAACCATCCATTTAGTGACAATTCGAAGAGGCAATGGCATTGAAAAAGAGGACATTCGAACGTTTTTCACGCTTACTACCCCATTGGCCACGTGATCAAAATTTGGACGCTTCGCAACTGGCGTGTATTTATGACGGTTGCAGTGTCCCGAGGGGTCGCGTGTTCACTTTTGGCAAACTTTTCACAGGCGAAGTCAATGGAGGAAGACTGGAGAGCTTGCTGTCATAGATTTTAATAGCTTTGAATCTCGGATTTTCTTACTGAACTGCCCTCTTTTTGTCACCCCATCTAGCCACCCTTCTACGTTGCGTTGAAAAGTCCGCCATCTGCCCTTCGTTGTCCGGCTTTCTGTTTACTCAGTGGAACAGCGAAACCCACAACGAGGTACACAAATTTGGTTGCTGCTTTGTGTCAAAAGAAGTTGTCGCGGAGATCTTATATGGGAGTTCAACATTCTTTTAATTTATATCCAGGAGATGCCACCATCTTGTGGGTTACCAGGTTTCTTACCAACTCTTCTTTCTAGAGGTTTTCTCAAGTTCTATTATGAAATGTTTAACTTAAGACAGCTTGAACCTTGGCGGTGAAGTTTTTTTGACTAACCTAAGTTCATTGGGCTTTTCTCAGCTCTATCATTACTTATCTAGATGTTGAGACTCTAGAAAGAATGCAGAGAAGAGCAACAAAGATGATTAAGAGGATGGAGGCTAAAACATATAAGGCATAGTTGCTGGAATTGGGTAGGTCTAGTTTAATGAAAAGGAGGACTAGGGGTGACATGATAGTAATATTCCAGGATTTGAGGGGCTGCGACAAAGAAGTGGGGGGTCAAATTATTCTCCAAAGCACCGGAGGGCAGAGCAAGAAACAATCGATGGAAACTGATCAAAGAGAGAAGCAACCTGGAATTAAGGAGAAACTTCCTAGCAGTGAGGACAATTAACCAGTGGAACCACTAACCCTAACTCACACCCATAATTCTATGTGCCATGTGCGTGTGACACACACACACACACACACACCGCTCTGGCATACACCCGTTATTTTTGTCTCCCCAGCCTCCAGAGCCTTTCTAGGAGTCGGCGGAGGCCAAAAACTGCCTTCCCCACCCCCCCAGAGGCTGGAAACGGCCCGTTTGCCAATTTCTGGAAGTTGGCAAACAGGCCGTTTCCGGCCTCCGGGGGATGGGGAAGGCTGTTTTAGCCCTCCCCAGACTCCTAGAAAGGCTCTGGAGGCTGGGGAGACAAAAAAACGAGCCTTCCCCACCCCCCACCCCCCCGAGGCCCTCTAGGGGCAGGAAACAGCCTGTTTCCCTACTTCTGATGAGCCCAGTGGGCCCATGCGCATGCTGAGCTCGCATGCCCACTGATACGGCTACGCATGCCACCTGTGGCACGCGTGCCATAGGTTCACCATCACGGGACTAGACAGTCACTTGTCTGAAATGCTATAAGTTCCCCTGCTTGATCAGGGGACTGGACTAGAAGACCTTCAAGGTCCCTTCCAGCTCATTCATTCTATTCTGTTCTTATTCTATAACTATTTAGGGCCTAGCGTTGCACAGTTAGCTAACTGTCCTTTTGAGAGGGGGAAAAAAAAAAGACTTCCCCTTAAAATGTTGCTTTGTGTTCAGTCAGTCTCTGCTCTACTGGAAAAATTCAAGAAAAGTGAGCAGGCGTTTGATATCAACGCAGAGACGGGTAACGAGTCTTTTGAAGACAGAATGGAAGATGATTTTGACGCTGACGTTCTGGACAAGACGATGGCAAGAGATCTTGGTGAATCCTCCGAAAAGCTGGAAGGATGCCGAATAGCACCGGAACGTTCAAGGTATATGTCCTTCTTGGAATATTTGGGGATAGGTGTGGTGCTCTTGAGAAGTTTTTAATGAGAATTTCATTGTTGCCTTCACTGAAAAATGATCAGGAACAACGTTCGTAGAAACACGCATATTATTCAGATGGTTTTGGACTTATGACCATAATTGAGCCCAACATTTCTGTTGCTAAGCAAGACATTTGTTAAGTGAGTCTTGCCCCATTTTTAGGTTTAAGTTTAGGTTTGATTTGATTTATATACCGCCCTACTCCCGAAGGACTCAGGGTGGTGAACAGCCACAAGATAAAACACATCAATACAAAATGTAAAAGCAAAATAAAACCGAGTTAAACAATTTGGCCCAAGACAGATTTAAAACACCCCAATAATTAAGAACAGATTAAAATTTACATTTTAAAAGGGAAAATTAGGCCAGGCCAACCTGATGGAATAAAAAGGTCTTGAGTACTAACATTACAAACAACATATACAATATTTCACCCTGTGCTATACATAAGAAAGGAAGATTTGGTTCTTCGGATATATCCTCATGATCGCCAAAATTCACGTTCTCGGGGTACAGGTACCGAAGCATCCAATTTTTCCATAGTCCACGAATGGTTTCCAAATTTTCCAGAAAATATCTTCTTTATAGTCACCATTTCTAATTTTAATATCACATGTCATTTTATCGTTTAAAGCTAATTTCCACATTTCACAATACCATTCTTCTATTCTAAAATTCACATCTAATTTCCAATATCTGGCTATTATAATTCTACCCATTATAATCATAATTCTGATCAATTCTTTCTCATATTTTGTTGGTTCTATTTCCTTAATTATCAACAGTAATATAGTTTCTGGTCTCAATATTATTGCTTTCCCCATCATTTCAAATATCATTTCCTCCAATTGTTGCCAAAACTTTTTAAGGTGCGCAGATCTGGGATCCTCCGTATCTGGGGGGAGCTCATTCCAGATAGTAGATGCCCCCACAGAGAAGGCTCTCCCCCTGGGGGCCGCCAGTCGACATTGTTTGGCCGACGGCACCCGGAGGAGCCCCTCTCTATGAGAGCGTACTGGCCATTTTTACGACCTTTCTTGCCACGGTTGTTAAATGAATCACCACAATTGTTAAGTTAATACCCTGTTTCCCCCAAAATAAGACATTATCCCCGATAATAAGCCCGATCGGGCTTTTGAGCGCATGGCAATAAGGCCAAGCGCTTATTTCAGGGTTCAAAAAAATATAAGAATGGGTCTTATTTTCGGGGAAACACGGTAACAAGTGGCCTCCCCATTGACTTTGCTTGACAGAAAGTTGCAAAATGAGATCAGGTGATTTAAACATTGCAACTGTTTAAATACATGCCAGTTGCCAAGCATTTGAATTTTGATTATGTGACTGCGGGGATGCTGCAATGGTCGTAAGTGTGAAAGACAGTCATAAGTCACCTTTTCAGTGGCGTTGGAACTTCGCTAAACAAACCTCTGTAAATCCAGGACTTACCTGCACAGCAAACCTTGAAGAAGCAACGGTCAACTCTTTTAAAACTAGCGTTAAATCTCTTTCTTACAGAGAAAACCAGGTTTCCGTGAGAGAAGGGGATATTGGGTCCATGTGTCTACAGCTGTCTATGAACCCCAGCGAGTATTCTTACTTCAGCCCCCGAATTATGTCCATGTGGGCAGGCCCAGAACACTGGCGCTTTAAACCACGCCATAAAGGTACGGTGGGCAGAGGTTGGGCAGGGATTGCCAAGAGTTCAGCTGACAAAGTTAATTGCGGCATCTCATAAATTGATGAAGAGTCACAATCTTTTACCTGTTACTGTTTCCTTTCCTCTGGTTTGACTGTTTTCTTCTTCTCCTGCTTCATCAGGGCTGTTTATTGAGTGTGCGTGGGTTCACACGTGCATATTCCCCTTTTCCGAATAATGCTCTCTGCTCTGGATGCTGCTGTCCAAAGTTTACAAAAACACAAAAGTCTGTAGAGCAGAGGCCTCCTCCTTCTGTTTCTTCTCCTTCTCCGCCTCCTCCTTCCCATTTCTCCTCCTTCTGTTTCTTCTCCTTCTTCGCCTCCTCCTTCCCATTTCTCCTCCTTCTGTTTCTTCTCCTTCTCTGCCTCCTCCTCCTCGTTTCTTCTCCTCCTTCTCCTCCTCCTCCTGTTTCTTCTCCTTCTCCGCTTCCTACTTCCCATTTCTTCTCCTCCTCCTTCTCCTCCTTCTCTGCCTCCTCCTTCCCATTTCTTCGCCTTCTCCGTCTCCTTCTCCTCATCCTTCTGTTTCTTCTCCTTCTCTGCCTCCTCCTCCCCATTTCTTCTCCTCCTTCTCCTTCTCCTCCTCCTCCTGTTTCTTCTCCTTCTCCACTTCCTACTTCCCATTTCTTCTCCTCCTTCTCCTCCTTCTCTGCCTCCTCCTTCCCATTTCTTCGCCTTCTTCTCCGTCTCCTTCTCATCCTTCTGTTTCTTCTCCTTCTCCTCCTCCTTCTCCTTCTCCTCCTCCTTCTCTCCACCTCCTTCTGTTTCTTCTCCTTCTGGGAGTTGAAGTTCACAAGTCTTAAAGCTGCCAAGTTTGAATTAACTGATCACATTTAATTGATCACATTTCTATGCCGCCCAACTCCCAAAGGACTCCCAAGGGACTCTGGGCGGCTTGAAGACCTCTGCTCTAGAGATTCTCAGTCCTCCAGATCATGGTTCTCCCAAAGGTTCTTTTTTCAGGAGGCAACTGGACTTCCTTGTTTTTTCCTTTTGAAGACATTTCGCTTGTCATCCGAGAAGCTCTTATCCTGTCAGAGCTGAAGAAGCTTCTTGGATGAGAAGCGAAATGTCTTCAAAACAACAACAACAACAAGGAAGTCCAGTTGCCTCCCAAAAAAGCACCTATGGGACCTTTTACAAAAAGCATATTCTGTAATATACATTGATCGTATAACATACGTTGATTTCTTACTCTGTAATAGAAATGGCATCACGATATGCCTCATTTTTGTTTAATCGCGCATAGATGAACGTAGAACGGTCGCATTTCCAATATTTATTGCAATACTTCCACCATAATTCTTTATTTTCTCACATCAAACCAGGATTGGTAGCTCAGAGTAGAGTGATACCTAATGTTTAATTATTTTGAAAGTGCCATTTTGTGCTGCCTGTTTAAAGACACTTAGAGTTCCCTTTTATAAAACAATATTGTTCACACCTACATGCACAACACTAAACAAAACACAGAAGATTTAATATCCTCTGGCAGAGCAAGCCGCTTCCTTCCATCGTGTCTTCTGTCATCTGCACAGGTGATGCCAACGCTGAGAGAGTCAGTAAAAGGAAAACAATTAAGAAAGTCTTTGAGATCAATTTTGACGAGGAGATTGACTTTGAACTTCACTTCCGCAAAACCCGGGTAGGTTTTTCTTTTTCCCCTGAAGGCAGGAAGAGAAGCAATGGGCGGGACAACAATTAAAGAGGAATCCAACTCAGAACTAGGGAGAGATTTTCAGCACTTCCAACGGAGATGAGCACCGCCCCACTATACTCAGCAATGGACTAGCAGAGTAAACTCTGTAGGGACTCTTTTACTGTTACCAGAGGTGGGCTGCTGCCGGTTCAGACCGGTTCGGGTGGACCGGTAGTTCCGACTACCGGCTGGGACCGCCCACCTGCCCCAACGCTATCCTGTGCTATATATCTCACTCTCTGGCTTGCTCACCCCGCCTGTGCAGCCCAGCTGATTTCCATGCCTCGCCCTCTCTACTCACCACGGCTGCCCCAGAAGGTGTGCTGGAAGCTGCACGCATGAAATAGCCGTGTGTTAGAAGCGGCTCCCATTTTCGGTTCTGGCACTGGGCAAACCGGTTATTAAAGTATGCGAAGCCCACATTACCAAATCTAAATCAGTGCAAAGTGGGATTCAAGATAAAACTTGCCCAGCATTCCTAGTAGAGGATGTTTCTGACGGTTCTGGTTTTCTAGAGTAGAGTAGAGTAGAGTAGAGTAGAGTAGAGTAGAGTAGAATAGAATAGAATAGAATAGAATAGAATAGAATAGAATAGAATAGAATAGAATAGAATAGAATAGAATAGAATAGAATAGAATAGAATTTTTTATTGGCCGAGTGTGATTGGACACACAAGGAATTTGTCTTGGTGCATACACTCTCAGTGTACATAAAAGAATAGAATAGAATAGAATAGAATAGAATAGAATAGAATAGAATAGAATAGAATAGAATAGAATAGAATAGAATAGAATAGAATAGAATAGAATTCTTTATTGGACAAGTGTGATTGGACACACAAGGAATTTGTCTTGGTGCATACGCTCTCAGTGTACATAAAAGAAAAGATACGTTCATCAAGAATCATAAGGTACAACGCTTAATGATAGTCATAGGGAACAAATAAGCAATCAGGAAACAATATCAATATAAATCGTAAGGATCCAAGCAACAAAGTTACAGTCATACAGTCATAAGTGGGAGGAGATGGGTGATAGGAACGATGAGAAGATTAATAGTAGTGCAGACTAGTAAATAGAGGGAATTATTTGTTTAGCAGAGTAATGGCATTCAGGAAAAAACTGTCCTTGTGTCTAGTTGTTCTGGTGTGCAGTGCTCTATAGCGTCGTTTTGAGGATAGGAGTTGAAACAGTTGATGTCCAGGATGCGAGGGGTCTGTAGATATTTTCCCAGCCCTCTTTTTGACTCGTGCAGTATACAGGTCCTCCATGGAAGGCAGGTTGATAGACATGGTTTTTTTCTGCCTTTCTAATGATCCTCTGAAGTCCGTGTCTGTCTTGTTGGGTTGCAGAACCAAACCAGACAGTTATGGAGGTGCAGATGACAGACTCAATAATTCCTCCGTAGAACTGGATCAGCAGCTCCTTGGGCAGTTTGGGCTTTCTGAGTTGGCGCAGAAAGGACATTCTTTGTTCTTTCTAAAACAGGCAGCTACGGTTCTGTCCAAGTCCACCCTCCAAAGCCAAAGCAAGAAAAGCAACACCCTCCCAACAGACTTCCATTATGATCCAGACAACCTCACGCGGCTGTTCCTCAAGCCGCAAATCAGGGTAAGGTTTGAAGCTTCTTCAATGTAAGGATCTCGGCAGCGATGCCGACAGCCTGCTGCTCTGGCCAGAAGATTGGCCGAGAGGTTTTCTACCTGAGCCAGTGCGTCAGTTCTTTCCATTAGTAGCAGCTTGTCGTGATTCTCTCAAGTTGTTTTCTTTCTGCAGCTCTCGAACCTGCTGCCTCAGGGCCGCTCACCCAGTCACCACGACGACGACGACGAAGTCAGAGAATATGATTACAACAATCCCAATGATACCTCCAATTTCTGTCCCGCGGTGCAGGTGAGTTCTGATAATCAGGAGCTTGCTCTGTGTTTGACTGCCATCCTTTCTTATCTGAAATTAGGGGGGGCTGGAAGCTATAAAAATTGGTTGCTGGTAGCTGCAGATTTTGTCGGGAAGAAACGTTGAGTTCCTGAAGTGTTGAGTGCCAACGTTTGAACTTTCCAAGAGTCCTTGCATTCTTTCTAGCTTTCTGGACTAATTACTTGGATCCTTTGCTTCCTGAACTCCTTGATTTGCCCTGCTGGATTTATTACTGTGCAGCCATGGTGTAAGCAGTGCTGGGCTGGACTACTTGCAGCCAGAGGCTGCTTGAGGTGTGTGGGGGGGTTTGACATCACTTTGTTCTGGGACTTGCCAGAAACGTGGGAGCGTTTGGGGAAATTTGGAGCAATAAAAAGGCAGTTCGAACTGCCAGCTGTTTGCGTTATCTCTGTGCCGTGCCCCAAGTCATCACCGGAAGCCAGATTCATTTTGCAACCATTTTACTAACTTAACTTCGGTGATTCACTTAACGCTATGTCGAGAAAGGTCGCAAAAGGAGGCAAAACAAACTTAACAACTCTCTTGCTTAGCAAGAGAAATTTTCATAAGTCACAAGTCAAGGACTACCTGCATTATTATTATTTTTTTTAAAAAAAATAATATTGAGAAAGACACACTGTGGACACACGTAAGATTTGACCGCACTCCTGTTCATTTCCCCCCCCCTCTTCTTTCTGTTCAGGAGGGCGACAGCGATGATGACAACGAGCCTGTGAAGTTCATAGGTCAGGGAGGGATGTTTGAAATGACAGCCTATCCTACGGGTGGAGATGACCACGATGGAGAACTTGATGATGGAAAGGTCAAAGGATTCAACATCTCCACTTATGGTGAAGCCAACATGGTAGCTGAGCCTCAAAAGGCAAGTATGAGTTCAGAGGGCACGGTCCCAAAACGGGGTCTCTCCAAATTCCCAATTAGTATCTGAAAAGTGCCCGGTTGGGAAAAAGATGATATACAATACGACTTGACGATGGGTGGGAAGATCTACCTGTGACTTACCCATCGTGCAGGTAAGGGTAAGCTGCGAAGTGGTTAGAATGCAGGATTGCAGGCAAACTCTGTCCACAGCCTGGAATTCAATCCTGATGGGGCTCAAGGTTGACTCGGCTTTTCGTCCTTCCGAGGTCGGTAAAATGAGGAGCCCAGATTGTTGGGGGCGAGAGGCTGACTCTGTAAACTGCTTAGAGAGGGCCGGAAAAGCACTGTGAAGCGGTATAGAAGTTTAAGTGCTAGTCCTTTATCAATATGGAGGTTCCTATTAGCTTTATAATTTTTGCAGAGGTCAACCATCCCAAAGGTGCTTTTTCAGGACTTTTTTGTTGTTTTCTCCTGAAGATGTTTCGCTTCTCCTCCAAGAAGCTTCTTCAGCTTTGACTGGATGATGTTCTGATCTGGGCTCCCTTAAAAAGCAAGAAGCAGGAAATGGTCCCGGCAAAACCTCTTTTTTTTTTACACGACTGTGAATTACTTTCATTCACAGTCAGCAAGGTTTGTCCAAACAGTTTTTCAAAGGAATATTTATCAACACAAACCTTATCTCACTTGGCAAGCTGCCACGTAACTTATTTGCAAAGGCAAAATAAGGCCAAACTTGGCACAGAGTCTCTTAAGAGTCACGAACAGAACTTTCCACTCTTGGAACTACCGAACAAACGAATGAATTGTTTCCTGCAAAAGCCCCCCCTCCCCATTCGCTCCTCTTTTGTTTCCTATGGGAGGGGCCAGTCACCTCCAAGGTCCAAAGTCAACTCTGCTTTCTGAATTGTTCTTGTCTTCTGGCAGCTCTGTGCATGCACACACTGGGAACAGGCTCCAGCTGTTCCTTTGCCTCGCTGCTGTCTATCTCCTTCTCTGCCTCCGACACAGAGCCCTTGTCCGAGTTTTCCCCAGCCCCCAGGACTGGCCCATGTTCCTCCCCAACCTCCTCAGTGTCCGACTCTGCCGCCAGTTCCGCTGGCCACCGGTGGGCCACAACAGATGGTGGGGAATGAAAGGATTTATATTCCTTGCAGACAGCTGGTCATTTGCATCCTTTTAGATGCAACAGTTAACAGAACTTGACTTGACTTTTACTTTTATTTGATTTCTATACCGCCCTACTCCCGAAGGACTCAGGGCGGTGAACAGCCAACAATAAAATACATACATAACAAAATTTAAAAAGCAGAGATAAAATCGAATTAAATAGTTTGGGCCAGACAGATTTAAAACCCCAACCAATTTAAAATTGAACGTAGATAAACCTCCCAAGTGCTTCAAGGACCCTCTAAAAGGATGCAAATGACCAGTTGTCTGCAAAGAATATAAATCCTTCCATTCCCCCCCCCAATTCTGTCAGAGCTGAAGAAGCTTCTTGGATGAGAAGCGAAAGGTCTTCAAAGAAAAAACAGAAAGTCCAGTGGCCTCCTGAAAAAGCACCTTTGGGACAACCATGAGATGGATGACTGAGAATCTCTACAGAGGACAATCATGTATCTCTATTTGTGTTGTAATTTAGTGAAATTAATTTAGAGCCTTGGTAGTACAGTGGTCTAAAGCACCCTGTTATTAAGACCAGCTGCCTGCAATTACTGCAGGTTCGAATCTCGCCAGGCTCAAGGTTGACTCAGCCTTCCATCCTTTCTAAGGTAGGTAAATTGAGGACCCAGTTGTGGGGGCAATAAGCTGACTTTGTATAAATATATACAAAAGTATGAAGGCTATTGCTTAACGCATTGTAAGCCACCCTGAGTCTCCGGAGAAGGGCGGCATATAAATCAAATTTAAAAAAATAAAATAAAATATATGGTTTATATTTCCCTCTCTTCATAACTGGACAGGACGCCTTCTGAAGTTCCATGCTTTTCTCACCTCTGCCAAGCTGAGAAGCGCTTGCTTTTTGTGAGAGGAAACTAGCTCGAAACTTAGTTCTAGATCTGTTTTCTCATTCTGTGTGCTTATTCCTCTGGAAAGCAGATTCATTTATTTTAAGTAAGGCCCTCCAGTATTGAATAGCAGTACTTTGAAAGGCAGGGTTGGCAGGTTTGTCTTTGGCTTATTATTATGACTCTTCTAACTCTGCCTAATTTTGGATTCCAGGTGAACAAAATAGACATTCAATATGCAAAAACAGCCAAAAAGATGGACATGAAGAGGCTGAAGCAGAGCATGTGGCGCCTCTTGACAGACGTCCCCAAAAATCAGACCGAGGAAGAGGTACACATCAGGAAATCTGGTTTTGTTGTCGTTCTTTGTTTTCTCCTTTGGCATCATAGTTGACTTTCTCTGAACTTCTTAAGGCAAAAACCGCACACTTTTAATCAACGCTTTGCAAAAAAAGAAGAACTGCAAATTTTTCTTTTCTTGGAAAAGGGCATCCTGACAACAATGTTGCTTCTCCACGCTTCCATAGACAGTATTAAAAGATTGGTGATTATCACACCTGAAATACTGCAAGTAATTTTGGTCACCATGCTACAAAAAAGATGTTGAGAGTTTGGAAAAAGTTCAGAGAAGAGCAACTAGGATGATCAAAGGCCTGGAGACTAAAACACAGGAAGAACAGCTGCAGGATTTGGGTTTGGCCAGTCTAAAGAAAAGAAGGACTGGGGGGACATCATAGCAATATTCCAGTATTTGAGGGGCTGCCACAAAAAAAAAGGGGGTCAAATTATTCTCCAAAGCACCAGAGGGCAGGACAAGAAACAGTGGTTGGAAACTAACCAAGGAGAGAAGCAACCTGGAATTAAGGAGAAATTTCCTAACAGTGAGGACAATTAACCAGTGGAACAGCTTGCCACCAGAAGTTGTGGCTGCTCCATCACTGGAAGCTTTTAAGAAGAGTCTGTTAAGTGAATCTGGCTTCCCAATTGACTTTGCTGGTCAGAAGTTCCCAAGAGGTGATCCCATGACCCCTGGACACTTCAACCGTCATAAATATGAGTCAGTAGCCAAGCGTCTGAATTTTGATGACATGACCATGGAGGTCCTGGTGGTGTGAAAAACAGTCACAAGTCACTTTTTTCAGTGCCGTTGCAATCTTGAACAGTCAACGAACTGTTGTAAGTCAAGAACTATCTGTACTGAGGAACGGAGTTGGAAGGGACCTTGTAGGTCATCTAGTCCAACCCCCCCCAACCGAAGCAGGAGACCCTACGCCATTTCTGACAGATGGAAGTCCAGTCTCTTCTTGAAAGCCTCCAGTGATGAAGCTCCCACAACTTTTGAAGGCAACTGCTGTTCTATGGGTTGATTGTTCCCACTGTCAGAAAATTTCTCCTTATTTCCAGGTTGAATCTCTCCTTGATCCGTTTCCATCCATTATTCCTTGTCTGGCCTTCGGGTGGTTTGGAAAATAGCTTGACCCCCTCCTCTCTGTAGTAGCCCCTCAAATATTGGAAGACTCCTATCGTGTCTCCCCTGGTCCTTCTCTTCACTGGACTAGCCATTGGCATGAACAGAAGACAGAAGTCCTGCCTAGAAAGTTTATGATCTGACTGCTTTTATTTCAACGTTCCTTCCGCAGAGTGAAGGCACCCAGAAAAAGGTCAACTCTTCATCCATCTCGAGCCCGAAGGTCTTCAGTAGCATCACCAAGGACCTACTTCAGAGGTATTTCCCAGGTGGAATGGGACAACTCACCATGGGGCAACTCGCTGCGGGACAATTTTACAATTCTGTTTTAATTGTTTAAAATAAATAAATTAGTTCAAATTTTGCCATTCACTTTTCCTTCCCTGTCCCTCCTTTTGCATCCTTTCTTCAATGTGATTCTATTCCACTATTGCTTTGTTATTAGTGTAACAGTGAGTTGTCCCATGGCGAGTCAGCTGTGGTGTGGTTAGCCAGTGATGGCTAACCTTTTTGCCATCGCGTGCCAGGAAGGGGGGGGGGAGGTTTGCGCACGCGCGTGCCCACGCCCATAATTCTATGTGCCCCATCCTGCGCATGCACGCACAATCCCGCCCCCTCCCGCTCCTGGCATGCAGTGGCCCGGTAGGCCCATTTTTCTTTCTCACCTGGCTCCAGATCCTCTCTATGCATCTGGGGAGGGCGAAAACAGCCTTCCCCACTCCCTCGGAGGCCCTCCAGAGGCCTGAAACAGCCCATTTCCCAACTCCTGGTGGGACAGGAAGTGACTTTTTTGCTGTCCTCAGCCTCCAGAGCCTCTCTAGGAGACTCTTGGCTTCCAGGTTCATGCAGGAGGCTTTTCAGGCCCCAAATGGGGCGAAGGGGGGGCCTTGCGCTGCCCCCCCTGCACCTCGTTTTGGCTTCCAGGTTGGTGCAGAAGGCCTTCCAGGCCCAAAACGGGGTTTGTGGGGAGAGTGCGTGCATGCGTGCAAACCCTCCAAATGCAATACAAGCACCCCCCCTGCATGCGTCCCCACCACGTATGCATTCATGTGTCCCCTGTATGTGCCCCCACCACCACACATGTGCTGCAGAGACCCGAAGACCAACTGAACGGTGGGAGGCACACACACATGTGTGGTGGAGCTGGGGTAATGTCTGGCGTTCCCGCAGAGAGGGCTCTGCATGGCACATGTGCCATAGGTTCACCATCACGGCCATAGGACACGCCACAGGGAGTCAGAGTAGCACAAAGAAACATTTACACGATGCGGACGGTTTGACCATTTCTTTGCATCTGCTCCCAGGTTGGGGAATAATTTGTATTTGATCAGCAAGCCTTGCCTTGTAGAGAAAGGATACGTCTGACCATGAAAGGAGGGCTTTTATCAACTGGCTGCTTCAATTTATGTCCTACCTCAAGGCAGCTGATAACCAGAAAGCAAAGCAGAGATAGTCAGTGGCGGGATCCTGCCGGTTTAACAGCTGGTTCAGTGAGAGAGCGGGCATACGTGCTTAAAACGCTGGCGCACAGCGCTAAAACTGGAGCATTTAGAAGCTCAGCTTCTAAAGTCAGCAACGGTATGTAGAACAGCGGGGAGGGGGAATCAGCTGTGCCGCCAATTAAGATGAGCTACAAAGCAGGACAGGATAGAGTTGGCGCTACCGGTTCGCCCGAACTGGACTGAACCAGCTGAATACCATCTCTAGAGGTAGTCCTTGATGTACGACCACAATCGACCCCAAAATTCCTGCTGCTTAAGTGAGACAGATGTTAACTGAGTTTCAAGACTTGACTTGCGCGCAGCGGTTAAGTGAACCACTGCAGTTGTTCAGTTAGCAATGTGGTTGTTAAGCGAATCTGTCCTCCCCCGTTGACGTTGCTTGTCAGAAGGTCGCAAAAGGGAATCACAACTTGTTCTGCCTTGCAGCCTTCCTTCCGTGATGGCGAAAAACCTGTCGGTCCCATTGGCGTTTGCCTGCCTCTTGCATCTGGCTAATGAAAAGGTGAGTACGATGCGCCATTTAAACACAGGTAGTCCTCAACTTATGGCTGCTATCGAGCCCAACGTTTCTGTTGCTGAGTGAAAGATCCGTTACAATTTTACAGCCTCTCTTGCCACAGCCGTTAAGTGGAGCACTGCCGTTGTCAAGATAGTAACCCCGTTGTTAAGTGAATCTGGCTTCCCCATTGATTTGGCTTGTCACATGGCGGCCAAAGGGGATCATGTGCCCCCCCTCCGCCCGGGAACACTGCAACCGTCATAAATATGAACCAGTTGCCAAACGACTGAATTGTGACCATGAGGATGCTGCAATGGACATAAATGTCAACTCGCAAAGCATCCCTGGCCTACTCTCGAGTTGCCATAGGCAAAGGGGATGGGAAACCGACAAAGCAGTCCAGCAGCCAAAGACAGGAGCATATTCCAGACATATCTTTCTCAAGGCTGTCTCCCAGGGTTACCCACAGCAGCCGGAGGGGAGTGATCTCTACAGCCTGCGAAATTGCTTTGCTGGCGAATGTGATTGACGACAATAAGTGTGAAAAACGGTTTATAAGCCCCCCTTTTTTCAGCACCGTCTTAACCACGAACTGTTGTAAGTCGAGAACTACCTGTCATGGTAGTTCTCGACAGTCATGTGGGAAGAACAGCATCTTTTCAACCTAAATCTCTAACCAGTGGGCGAAACCTTTTCTTTCGCGCCTTCGCCAATGCTGAGAAAAAACAAACAAACTTGGATTTGAGTGGGGGCAGCTTTAAAGTTTGACATTTGATTCTTTCCCCTCCCGTTTGTCCCCCAGAACCTGAAACTACAAGGGGTGCAAGATTTATCTGAAGTCTTAGTGCTACAAGAAGATTAACCTGTGCTACCCGACACTCTTCAGCCTCCGAAGAGGGAAATTTATCTTGCCTTTTTGAGACTTTTCCCCAGCGCATCAAAGCGAAGGGCAAGGAGCCTCCGCCTAAGTCTGTCGGTTCTCCCTGGGATCAAACAGCGTATGATTTGCATTAAGATTTCGGCAGTCAAATCTGCTTGTCTTTTAAAAGGAAACCTGGGAGGTTTTTTTTTAACTCCTCCTTAATTTTGCCCCCATTCCCCACGATGGGTGATATCCCCCCCCCGAACGCAGGGGGAACATTTTAACACGCGTGTGCGTTTTTTTTAAAAAAAACACCGGTTTTTAGTTTTTCCCCACGCTGGAAACCGTTCCCGTCTTTCTTTCTAAACCGGTGTTTCTCAACCTTGGCGCGCTGGACGATGTGGGGACTTCAACTCCCAGAATTCCCCAGCCAGCTCTGGGGAAGAGCTCTGCCAAGCTCTGCTGGCTGGGGAATTCTGGGAGTTGAAGTCCCCACATCGTCCAGCGCGCCAAGGTCGAGAAACACCGTTCTAAACAATTCCTCTCTCCTGTCGTTTTTATCGTTGTCTTTGAAGTCATTTTATATATTTGTACGGATTTATTTTTATTTTTTATTTTTTAAAAAGGAATAAACCCAAACCTCTTCTCCGCCTGCGGCTTTAGTTTGCTTTGAACCTCCGGCGGAGCGGCGTCTGCGACTCCAATGGATGTCTTGTTTGGGTTACGGTTGCGTTTCGCGCTGCGGTTTCGCGTGGGCGGCGGACGTCATAGAGAAACCGTTCGGCTGCCATGCTAGGAAAAAAAAGCCCCAAATTTAAATTTGAAGCCTATCCAGATAAAGCGTCCCTCGCAGAGATGGTTACCTTGATTTCATCAAGCAATGAGGAAGTTGCGCCAGGCGGGGTGACTTCACTCAAAACCAGAGCTCGCTTTGGTTTCTCAATAATTCTCTCTCCCATTCCCCGCAATGGGACTCCCGTTGCACAACTGCATTATCTAATCGCGTTCTTGGGCACAAATCGGTTACCTAACTGCTAGGTTGATGAAAGATACCATCTCCTCCTTTCTGTTAAAACTGGCCAGGCTGTCAGAAGTCGAGCCTGAGCTTTCCTTTCTGGTTTGCAATTTACGGAAGAGCCCCTTCCACCGGGACAGGGGTGTCAAATGCGATTTCATTGAGGGCTGCATCAGAGTTGTGTTTGACTTTGGGAGGGGGGCTGGGGGGTTTCGGGAGGGGGGGGCATGGCCAGAGATACGTACAATAACAGACCTCCGGATTTTTCGTCGGGCCCTGAAAACCCATTTATTTCAACTAGCGGGGCTGGCTTGAGTTAATTTTAAATTGATTTTAAATTGGGTTATTTTAATTTACGGCCAATAATATTTAATTATTTTAAATTGCTTTTAAATTTTGTATGTATTGTTTTTTACTCTGGCTGTTCACCGCCCTGAGTCCTATTCTGGAGAAGGGCGGTATAGAAATTTAAATAATAAATAAATAATAAATAAATAGCTCAACATCACTCGTGTCGGGGGCACCTGTGGTGGCCAAGTGCCAAGGCAGAACTTCTCTCAGACCCTCTCTCTCCCTCTCATTATAATTTCCTTCCTCCCTTCCTTCCTTCCTTCCTTCCTCTCTTTCCCCTCTTTTCTCCTTTCTTCCTTCCTTCCTCCTTCCTCTCCCCCTTTCTCCTTCCTTCCTTCCCCCTCCCTCCCTCTTCTCCTTCCTTCCTTCCCCCTTTCTCCTTCCTTCCTCCTTCCTCTTTCCCTCCTTCTCCTTCCTTTTTCCTCCTTTCTTTTTCCTTCCTTCTTCCTTCTCCTTTTTCCTTCCTTCCCCTGTTTCCTTCTTTTTTCTTCCTTGCTCTCTTCCCATCTTTTTCTTTCCTCTTTCCCTTTCTCTTTTCCTATCCCTTCTTGCATGCTCAAATGCAAAAGGGGAAATGTTTCTCCTTTTTTTTTTTTTTGTTTTAAGTTGGTTTTGCTAGCCCTCTGCCAGCGAAAACGGAGCCCAGGTGACCCACGCGCAGAGGCACTGCTGGTCGGTCCTTTTCGGTTTCCAGGTAGCCCTACAAGCCAGCTCTAAGCATCCCTAGATGCTTTGAGGGTGGGGGTGGGGAAGGCCGTTTTCACCCTCCCTAGGCTCCTAGAAAGGCTCTGGAGCCTGGGAAGGGTGAAAAACGGGCCTTCCAGTCCCACTGGAAGTCGGCAAACGGCCGTTTCGTTTCTGGCCTCGGGGAGATGGGGAAGGCTGTTTTTGCCCTCCCCAGGCTCCAAGAAAGCATCTGGCTCCAAGAAAACATCTGGAGCCTGGGGAGGGCGAAAAACGGGCCCACTGTGCCATTGCGTGCCAAAATGGGGGGGAGTGCAGGGGTATCGCGTGGGGAGGGCAGGGCGCGCTGAATTATGGGTGTGGGCACATGTGGGCGCCAACCCCCCACACTCCCCGTGCTTTTGGCACGCAACGGCAAAAGGTTAGCCATCACTGTCCTATACCCTTATCCAGCCCTGTTTTCTTTTTCTTTTAAATAATACACTGCTCAAAAAAATAAAGGGAAGACAAGCAGAAGACATCCGAGATCTGAATGAATGAAATAGCCTTATTAAATACTTTCTTCTTTACATACCGTAGTTTATACACTGCTCAAACAACTAAAGGGAAGACAAAACTATTGTATGTAACGAACAAAGTATTTAATAAGGCTATTTCATTCATTCAGATCTCGGATGTCTTCTGCTTGGGTTCCCTTTATTTTTTTGAGCAGTGTATTCATTAAATTTCCAGAGATTAAAATACACAGTACAAAAAGAAACATTTTTCAAAGAAACCCTTCCCGTCTTTCTCTCCTGGAAAGCACTTTTTTTCAGAGGCGGGGCCGTCTCCCGCTCTCCCTCTGAACTTTCATTATGATGTTTATGTTACGTGTAATGATTTCCCGGGAGCAAACATTCCTCCATCCACAAGTCACGGCTGTTTGTGTATTTTATTTCTCCGCCTGTGCAATCATGCCATGGCCAAAAATAAAATAAAAAAATTAAGAAAATAATAATGCGATTTGTACATCGGCTTGTTTGCAAAGAAGGGCGGAAGGCAGAGAAGAGAAAAGCAGCCACGTGACTGGCGGGAAAAAGAAATTGGGGAAAATTTTCCATTCCTTTTGGCACCCGACTGCGTGAACTTGATAGCTTTTCATGTGATTGTCTTTTGGTTCCTCCCAAAGGAAATTTTCCACCGGCCTCTCTCCCTGATCTCGGGTTTTTTTTTTTTTTTAATGACTAATTCACCATTGGCACTTCTTGTTAGAAAGTTTCTAAGACCTCGGATGATTCACATCGCTTAAAGAGCCGGCGGCAGATTTCTCTGGCTTCCAGATCTAATTATTACGGCATCTGTTAAATTGTTGGATTAGCCAGGAAGGGTTTTAAAACAACGGCCTGAAATAAAGAAAAAGGCCGAAGGGAGGCAGCCTTTTCTACTCTGGGGCTCTGTGATTTTGCGTCGGACTTCAAGTCTGGGGGTTTTAAGCCATGCTGGCTACAGATTAGTTGGTTTTAAATGATATTCCAACTCGGTTACTTATTGGGAAGGGAAACCGAGGCAGAATCTAGAGCCAGATTTGACTATCACTAGGCAGAGCAAAACCTTGGTTGATTTAACAGATTAACGGAGTTAATGTTTTGTCGCTAAGCGAGACAGTTTTTAAGGGAGACAGAGACAGATGGGTGGAGAGAGAGAGATGGAGAGAGACACAGACAGAGAACAGGGCTGTTTTGTCACTAAGCAAGACATTGGTGGCTAAGCAGAGTTGGAAGGGACTTTGTAGGTCATCTCAGGGTTTTAAATTGGCTTTAAATTTTATAAATCTATGTGTTTTAATATGGCTGTACACCGCCCTGAGTCCTTCGGGAGAAGGGCGGTATAGAAATCTAATAAACTTTAAACTTTAAATTTTAGTCCAACCCCCCTTTGCCCAAGTAGGAGACCCTACAACCACATTTCTGACAGATGGCTGTCCAGTCTCTTCTTGAAAGTTTCCAGGGATGAAGGTATTTGCAGGAGCCCAATCTGAACTAAAGTCGAACTGTTAACCAGGAGGGCACAAAACTAACCCAGCAACCTGATTACTCAATTACTGGGTTTTTTCCCTCTCTTAATTTTACAGGTGCTTTCTTATTTTCGGCCACTACGTTTTAAAACTTAATATCTTAATTAAAAAAAATTGGCATAGTAGCTTAAATAGTTGGCACGCCACTTGTCTCTCTAGAAAGCTTTTGTGAATCGGATCTCTCCGAATGGTTAGTTACCACCTCCTGGCGTACAGCATTATTGGTGAGCACCTTGTGTCCTGTTCCTTCGGTGAGGCTCACTGCTTAGCTTTTTAGGATCAAAAGAGTGAGAGCAATCAACCCATGGATCAGAAGTTGCCTTCGGAAGTTGTGGGAGCTTCATCCCTGGAGGCTTTCAAGAAGAGTGGACTGCCATCTGTCAGAAATGGCGTAGGGTCTCCTGCTTGGGTGGGGGGTTGGACTAGATGACCTACAAGGTCCCTTCCAACTCTGTTAATCTGTCAAATCAACCAAGGTTTTGCTCTGCCTAGTGATAGCCAGATCTGGCCCTAGATTCTGCCTCAGTTTACCTTCCCAATAAGCAACCAGTTGGAAGATCATAAAGTGGGGGGGGGGTTCTCTATGAAAAAGGAGAGAGAACCTTGAGCCCCATCTTATATTCCTTTTTGATACTTAACAAAAACGAAAGAGGAAAGTTGGTTGGTCAAGATAAGAGTAACCCTGCCTTGCACCGTAAATCAACCACAAACTTTGTTTGAAATTAGATAACTAGATGCCAGTTGACACTAAGAAACTTTTTTCTTATCAGACATCCTTCTGTAAATTCTCTTTTCAGTTTAGGAATGTTAGAAGCGATCTCGATCAATCCATACAACCGTAGGATAAAAGTTTTCCTACTTTCCAATCTGTAATGACCCTGAATATAGAAAAATAACTCAAATATTAAAATATAAAATAACTGTGTTAGTTAACAAATTGCAAAACCCAGGTCACGTGCCCCTCGCTAATTTAATATAAGTCTTCATCCACTTTTACACTTGACTTTTCTTCTAAGAAAATCTATTATCCATGAAATCTGATAAAGCTTTTGATTTCCTTCCATTGTTTTGTGGGGAAATCCCTTCCATTCTCTACTAAACGAAAGTGGCTGTTGAATAACAGGTGATTCTTTATTGTTAAGAATAGCATTATACAATCTGGACTAAAGATGCACACACATATATATGTGCGTGAGTGTATATATAAGAGTATATTAGCTGGACGCCCGTGCTTCGCTATGAAACTATGTGATCGGGAGTGATAAATTGATATTTAAAGCTGAAACTTAATGTAGAATGTGTAACTCCGTAGCATCAGAGCGCGTTAATATAAGGCAACTGGTAGTTGGAACAGAGGGGGAGAGGGAGTAAAATGTCCCAGCCCGCAGACCGGATGAGTCACGTGCTGGCCACACCCACACCCAGTTTAGTGAAGGGGTAGCATCAGAGCATGTTAATATAAAGCAACTGGCAGTTGGGACAGAGTTCCTTTCAGGTGGGGAGGGGAAGTAGAACTCCTTAGCATCGGAGCATGTGAATATAATACTGTATCCTTTTTACTTGTGGTTGGTGGAAAGGCAGAAGAAGGTGTCAGACATCTGCAGGATGATTCGGACAGGAAAAAGGAGACAGGTTTCCTCTTCTCCACCTTTTACTCTGCATCACCCAGCAAAATGGACATCAGGTCTTTTCAAGCAGATCCTTTCAACAATGCAATATTAGCTGTCAAATTGTGGCCTTCACATCCTGCGTAGCAATTTCCTCTTAACTGGATTGCCCTTGTTAGAAATGGGCTGTTAAAGAAACTGGTTCTTTGATATATTTTTTTTTTTCTTCTTCTTCTTTCTTTCTTTCTTTCCACATTTCCTGTTATGCATCTTCGAACATCACCTCTTTATACCCATTTTTAAGAAAAAAAAGGATCCTAGAGGCTGGTATCTCGACCATTTATTACAAATTCTTTATAAAAATTACAGATTTTTTTTTTTTTTTTTTACAGAGAAACGAGTATAAAAACAACACACTATTAACAGAAACAGCTGATCCAGGTTGAATTCTTGCCATTTAGAAAATCATCTCTAAAATATTTTAAATTTCCAATTGTTTCTATCTTTAATTCTTTAGAGCATGATGTTACTGGGGTTTTTTTTTTTCTTTTTAAATTGGCTCTGACTTGTTTCTTTAAGAGCAGATTGAAACCAATTCAATGACATTTGTTATTCATTTTTCTTCCAAGGCAGGTTGGGTTATCAGTTCCCACCATGTACCCACCCCACCCGCTTAAGAAATCTGTCTCGTTGAGAAGATGAAACTCTTTTAAGTTTAATACATGATTTTTTAAAAAAAAATTTCCCAAAATGGGAGAATGTGAGAGATCTTATTTGTCCTTCTGAGCAAGCTTTGATTTTCACATCTAGACCCAGGACTCAATTTGTTCTTAACGTGCTATGACGCAGCCATGACGGATGGATGCTTGGATTGTTAATCATTGTGCCTGAAAAGTCCTGGAAAAACCAGAAAGCTTGCGCTAATTTTGCAACCTTCATCATCCAAAAGGTGTTCGCTCAACACAGCACCTCTGATGAAGAAACCTTCTACCAAAAGATGATCATCTAAGATTGCAAAAGATTCTTTCTTCTGTCTGTCTGTCTGTCTCTCTCTCTCTCTCTCTCTTTCTTCTCTTTTTGTTTTTCTTTCTCTATTTCTCTCTCCCTCCTCTCTATCTTTCTTTCTTTCTCTCTCCCTTTCTTTTTCTTTCATTCTCTTCTTTCTTTCTTTCTTTCTTTCTTTCTTTCTTTCTTTCTTCTTTTTCTTCTTTCTTTTCTTTCTTTCTTTCTTCTTTCTTTCTTTCTTTTTCTTTCTTTCTTTTTCTTTCTTTCTTTCTCTCTCCATGGTTCACCCAACATGCAGGCCCTGCCAACTTTGAAATGGTTTGATTTTGAAACAACAAATCACAGGAAATCATCCCTTTGTTTTTGGGTCTCGAAGACCTAAATCTCCAGATGTTTCCTGCAAGAGGGGGAGAGTTCCCATCCCACCGAGCAGGAGAAACAATAAAAGTTCCCCCCCCCCCCGCCCGGCTTTGTTTTTTGCTCTGAAGGAGAATTCCTCTCTTGATGTCTCTTCCCTCCCTCCGGTGACTCCTTAAATTTGGAATTCGACTGTCCGTTCTTGCAATGCTGTTTATTTACAAGCCTGGTCCTATCCCCCTCCTCCCGAAGGCCGCAACTGTTGGGCTGAACGAAATTCCATTCTCCCAAAGATAAAAATTCCCTCATTCTCAGGCAACATCAATGACCACAAGGAAGCCAGAAGGCGGCTAGCAGACTTAACCAGATTCCCAAAAGGTTTTGGTTAACCTGTGAATGGTCTTTTTTGCCCAGTTCCCTGGCAAAGCATAGCTAACCACATTTTTCGACGGCTTGCGTAGCCTTAGAAATGTTCAAACAAGCCCTTCCTGATTCTTGTTGCTCTGAGAACAGACAGCGCTGGTGATTCCCCTGCCCGGAAAGTCCTGGAAATCAATTTCAAAGCCGTCGGCCTCGTGCCAGTTTGCGAGGAAGCGTGAGAACTGTTTTTTTTTTTAAAGAACGAAGAGGTGTAGCATATTCAAACATGTGGCTCTTGTCCATCTCCACAGCGGTCCCAGCAATTCAGCTCCTTCATCCAACTAGCAACCCCGTCCGTCGCCTCTGTCCCTTCTAAGCAAACACTGCTTTTCTTAATTTTTATTATTATTTTGGTCTCCCCACCCCCAAAGGGCCTGGTGGCTCAGCAGACTGATAGCATTGTGATTAACATTCAGCTGTCTGCAATTACTTTAAGTTCGAATCTCGCCAAGGCTCAAGGTCGACTCAGCCTTCCATCCTTTCTAAGGTAGGTAAATTGAGGACCCAGTTTGTGGGGGCAATAAGCTGACTTTGTATAAATATACAAAAGGATGAAGGCTATTGCTTAACGCATTGTAAACCGCCCTGAGTCTCTGGAGAAGGGCGGCATATAAATAATTTTTTTTTTTAAAAAAAATGGCTTTCTTCGCCTTTCCAATTCCCTGCCCTTTCCTACGAGGACGGACCTATTTCAGGAGTTTTGTCACCGCAGGGAACAGATCTGCTTTGATTTCCCCGACCAGCTTGGCAGGCCGTCGTTCTCCGCCAAAACAGAGACACAGAGGATTTTCTTCACCGCCTCCCGACAGAGAGGGCAGCGGCCGCTGGTTCTGAAAATCTTCAAGGAGCATCTGGAGCAGAAGCCGGTGTGATGGCAAGGGAACATCATGGTACTGGCCTGGGACGCAAAACAGACCATGCAATCTTCCACAGTGTTTTCTTCAGCTCTTTCCTGGAACTCCAAGCAGGCGGGATCTGCGGAGGCACAAATATTTCAACGGGAAAGTTTAAAACGGGGGTGTCCAGCCCACCTTGCCGACTTTAAGACTGGCGGACTTTTAACTCCTAGAGGCTCCTTTTTGCCTCCTTGTAGGCTTCCACACCCCATGCTTAAAGCCAACAAGCCTTGCGGATTGTGTGTGCGTCATTGTCGCATAATGGCTTTAAAACAAAATGGAACTTTTGCCCTTGAAGGGGAACGTATGCCCTATCCATAAGGGAGCCCTCGACTTATGAGCACAATTGAACCCAAATGTTTTGTCGCTAAGCGAGACAGTTCTTAAAGAAGACAGAGACAGATGGGTGGAGAGAGAGAGAGATGGAGAGAGACACAGACAGACAGAGGGAACGGGGCTGTTTTGTCAGGGCTGTTTTGTCACTAAGCAAGACATTTGTTGCTAAGCGAGACAGTTCTTAAGGGAGATGGAGAGAGAGAGGGAAGGAGAGAGACAGAGTGGGAGGGAGAGAGACAGAAACAGACAGAGACACAGAGAGACAAAGAGAGAACTAGGTTGTTTTGTCACTAAGTGAGACATCTGTCGCTAAGTGAGACAGTTCTGGAGGGAGGGAGGGAGAGAGAGAGAGAGAAAACAGGGCTGTTGGTCACTCCACCGGCCTTCCTCTGCCCTAAAAAAGCCACACAAGGCGAAATTGTCCGGCCTGCAGTTGCTTACCGAGAAGTTGGACCGCTTTGGTTCTTCCGTAGACGTCCACAACGGCCCAAAGAGGAGATTTAACTGAGACGCATTGAAGAGGAAGGAGCCTTCGGCCTCAAGGTTGGTGCTGCAGAAAACGCAGCCCCAGCTGTCCACCCAGAAGCTGATAATGGTCTCTTCTTCGATATATTCATCTGGTAACACACACGCACGGGTCTTCCCTTGGGCGACCAGGTTTGGGCACAGAAACGGAGGCAGGTCGCCGGACTGAAGGCAGGGGTTTTTCCAGGTGAAGCCCACCCGTAGACCCCCTTGCCACTTCTGGTCTTCTTGTAAGATTTTCAACGTCACTTTCTCATAAAGCTCTACGGGCCGGTTGGAGAAGACGATACCATCGTGGAACGTGTCTACTCTACTTACTGTACAGCAAGATTCGTCCAGGATAACCTGGGATCCTTTGATGTAAGGATGGAAGAACAGCGGACTGTAGGAAGCTTCGAGAAAACACTCCGATTCTGTGGAGACATGAAACATCACGAATACAAACATAGAAAGGAGAGAGACCAGAAGTCCTCAAGGGAACCCGTTGGCATCAATGAAGAACATTGGGGCGCGACGATGCGACTCCCATGTGACTCCTCTCCTGCATGAGCTGCATTGGCTTCCGGTGGACTTCCGGGTGGCTTCAAGGTGTTGGTGATCACCTTTAAAGCGCTCCATGGCTTAGGGCCGGGGTACTTACGGGACCGCCTTCTTCCACCAATTGCCTCCCACCGGCCAGTTCGCTCCCACAGAGAGGGCCTCCTCAGGGTGCCGTCGGCCAGACAATGCCGGCTTGCGACCCCCAGGGGGAGAAAAATAAGCCCTAGCATGATTTTTCAGGATGCTCGTAATATAAGCCCTACCCCCAAAATAAGCCCCAATTAAGATTGTCAACCAGACAGGTGTTTAGTACTGTATTTCTCCCAAAATAAGACCTAACCGGAAAATAAGCCCTAATGCGTCTTTTGGAGCAAAAATTAATATAAGACCAGGTCTTATTTTGGGGAAAACACGGTAGAAAGCGTGCAGAGAAGAGCAGCAGCGGAGATGATAAAGGATATGGAGGTTAAAAGGTGCGAGGTATGTCTAGACTAGCCCAACAAAAAGAAGGATTAAGAGGGACCTGGTTATTGTCTTCCGGTACTTAAGGTGTTGCCACAAAGAGATTAACCTACTCTCCAAAGCACCTGAGGGCAGGACAAGAAATAATGGGTGGAAGCTTGTTAAAGAGAGGTCCAACCTAGGAGGTAAGCAGAATATTTGTTGACAGTGAAAACAATGAGTCAGTGGATAGCTTCCCTCCAGAAGTGGAAGTTCTGAAGAAGAGATTTCACCTGGATGGTCTAAGGTTTCCTGCTTGAGCAGTGGGTGGACTAGAAGACCTCTGAGGTCCCTGTGATTCCATGTTCTTTTCCGCTTGGTTAATGACCGCAATAAAGTTACCTGAATTTATGTTTTATGCTCCGTGTTTTATTACTGTGATGATGATGAGTCATGGCCCCCGGAGGTTCTGCTTAACTTCGTTGGAGGACATCAGAGGGATGCCCATATTAAGAGCATCCGCTGAGTGCAGAGTTTGCAAATCCTTAAATCCGTGATTTTTCTGGGACGCTAAGGAGGATCTGGGAACGTTTTGACCTTAAGAGCACTCAGCACCTTCTCAAGGTGCTCAGCTCCCTTGGGAGAGCAAAACAGGTTTGGTGGGTAGAGACCGGAAGCCGTCAAATGCTTTCAAACTGCACAAGGGCCTCATTTTCAGATCTCCTGCCAGCTTTGTATGAGTTTATTGTCGCAGATAAGGGAAATTGCAGATAAAGGATTAACGTTTATACTTGTGGAAAAATACAAGATAAGCCTCGTGTGGGAATGAATAATAATTAAAAAAAACCAAGTGCATTTAGAGGAAATAAGTCATTGAGTTACTTTCACTTTCACTCTGTCACAGGCGTTAAACTAACAATGCAAGGAGAAGTTAATTTCCCAATAAAACGGCATATGCTAAAGAGACAAGGTTAGAGGTTACACATCTGAACCTTTTCTTGATGCCAAAAATCCAGGCCGGAGATAAGCTGATTCAGAACAACAGAATAACTAATCCACTAATAACTAATAACTAATCCAACCCCCTGCTCGAGCGGAGAACCATTTCAGATAAGTGACTTTCTAGTCTCTTCTTAAAACTCCAGTAATGGAGCACCCATAACTTCTGGTGGCAAGCTGTTCCACTGATTAATTGTTCACGGTGTTAGGAAATTTCTCCTTAATTCCAGGTTGCTTCTCTTCTGAGTAGTTTCCATGCATTGTTTCTTGTCCTGCCCTCTGGTGCTTTGAGAAATAGGTTGACCTCCCTCTTCTTCGAGCAGTCCTTTACTTCATTGGAGAATGAATTTTTTGCATTCCTTTATAGAATGCTTTTCTATATATATATGGGAGGTTACATATTGGAACCCTTTCTTGGTGCCAAAAATCCTGTCTGTCTGTCTGTCTATCTAGCTGTCTGTCTATCTATCATCTGTCATCTATCTATCTATCTATCTATCTATCTATCTATCTATCTATCTATCTATCTATCTATCTATCTATCATCTAACTAACTATCTAGCTATCATCTAGCTAGCTCGCTAGCTCTCATCTATAGCTCTCATCTAGCTAGCTAGCTATCATCTACCGGTATATTTATCATCTATCTATCTATCATCTATCTATATTTATCAGCTAGCTAGCTAGCTAGCTATTATCTATCTATCTATCTATCTATCATCTAACTATCTAGCTATCATCTAGCTAGCTCACTAGCTCTCATCTATAGCTCTCATCTAGCTATCTAGCTATCATCTATATCTATCTATCATCTATCTATCTATCATCTATCTAGCTATCATCTAGCTAGCTCGCTAGCTCTCATCTATAGCTCTCATCTAGCTCTCATCTCTATCTATCTATCATCTATCTATATTTATCACCTAGCTAGCTAGCTAGCTATTATCTATCTATCTATCTATCTATCTATCTATCTATCTATCTATCTATCTATCTATCTATCTATCTATCTATCTATCTATCTATCTATCATATTATGACATATTGCCTCTAAAAACACTTGGGGTTTTATTTCTTTCCTGACCCAGAGGGTTTCTAAAATTAGTTGAATTTTGCAAACCCACCAAAGGCACATTTTGTGTTTGGATTGTTTTTTTTTTTTTTAAATTCCCACACAAGATTTATCTTTTTTTCCCATATGGATAAACTTTAATCCTTTATCTGCGTTTCCCTTATCTGCGGCAATAAACTCACATGAAGCTTTTCTATATATGGAAAAGCATTCCTGTAATGAATGCCCAACATTCATTCCTCCAATGAAGTAAAGGAGTGCCCCAAAGAAGAAGGGGGTCAATTTATTCTCCAAAGCACCGTAGGGCAGGACAAGAAACAATGGATGGAAACTAATCCAGGAGAGAAGCAACCTGGAATTAAGGAGAAACTTCCTAATAGTGAAGACAATTAACCAGTGGAACTGCTTGCCACCAGAAGTTGTGGGTGCTGCATCACTGGAGGTTTTTAAGAAGAAACTGGACAGCCATTTGTCTGAAATGGTATAGATTCTCCTGCCTAAGCAGGGGTTGGACTAGAAGACCTCCGAGGTCCCTTCCAACTCTGTTATTCTGTTGTTCTGAATAAGCTTATCTCTGGCCTGGATTGTTGGCGTCAAGAAAGGGTTCAGATATGTAACCTCCTAACCTTGGCTTGAAAAGAACCTCTTTAGTATATGCCTGTTTATTGGGAAATTAGCCTCTGACAGAATGAAAGTGAAAGTAACTCAATGACTTATTGCCTCTAAACACACTTGGGGGTTATATTTCTTTCCTGACCCAGAAGGTTTCTAAAAAACGAACGTTGAATTTTGCAAACCCACCAAAAGGCACATTTTGTATTTGGATTGTTTTTTTTATATATATATATATTCCCCCAGACAAGGCTTATCGTGTTTTCCCCCATATGTATATAAGCTCCAATCCTTTATCTGTGTTTCCTTTATCTGCAACAATAAACTCCTATAAAGCTTCTACACATATAGAAAAGCAGTCCTGCACAAAATTCACTCCTTTATTATAAAAAGTTTTTTTTTTATTTTACAATTACAAAGATAAACATTCCATCTTTCCTTAAGCAGTTTGTCCTCTGGGTACAAGCATCTCTGTGCAACCTCTTTTCACCATTTACAACATCATTCAGTTTCACATTATTTCTCTAAACTTAATGTTATAATATAGCGTGTTTCCCCAAAAATAAGACCCTGTCTTATATTTTTTTGAACCCCGAAATAAGCGCTTGGCCTTATTTTCGGGGAGGTGTTATCATTTTGGGGCGCGTGGAGGAAACCAGAGAAAACTCTTCTGCTTCTTCTCCTCCTGCTGCTCCTCCGCCTCCTCCTCCTCCTCCTTCTTCTGCTTCTCCTCCTCCTGCTGCTTCTTCTCTTCCTCCTCCTCTCCTGCTTCTCCTCCTCCTGCTTCTCCTCCTCCTCCTATTTCTTCTGTTTCTCCTCCTCCTGCTTCTTCTCCTCCTCCTCCTACTTCTTCTGCTTCTCTTCCTCCTGCTGCTTCTTTTGCTTCTCCTCCTCCTGCTTCTCCTCCTCCTCCTCCTTCTTCTTCTGCTTCTCCTCCTCCTCCTGCTTCTCCTCCTCCTACTTCTGCTTCTCCTCCTCCTCCTGCTTCTCCTCCTCCTACTTCTTCTGCTTCTCCTCCTCCTCCTGCTTCTCCTCCTCCTACTTCTTCTGCTTCTCCTCCTCCTGCTGCTTCTCCTACTTCTTCTTTTGCTTCTCCTCCTCCTGCTGCTTCTCCTCCTCCTCCTCCTTCTTCTGCTTCTTCTCCTCCTCCTGCTTCTCCTCTTCCTCCTACTTCTTCTGCTTCTCCTTCTCTTGCTTCTCCTCCTCCTCCTTCTTCTGCTTCTCCTCCTCCTCCTCCTGCTCTCCTCTCCTCCTACTTCTTCTGCTTCTCCTTCTCTTGCTTCTCCTCCTCCTTCTTCTTCTGCTTCTTCTCCTCCTCCTGCTTCTCCTCTTCCTCCTACTTCTTCTGCTTCTCCTTCTCTTGCTTCTCCTCCTCCTCCTTCTTCTGCTTCTTCTCCTCCTCCTGCTTCTCCTCTTCCTCCTACTTCTTCTGCTTCTCCTTCTCTTGCTTCTCCTCCTCCTCCTTCTTCTGCTTCTCCTCCTCCTCCTCCTGCTTCTCCTCTTCCTCCTACTTCTTCTGCTTCTCCTTCTCTTGCTTCTCCTCCTCCTTCTTCTTCTGCTTCTTCTCCTCCTCCTGCTTCTCTTCTTCCTCCTACTTCTTCTTCTGCTTCTCCTCCTCCTGCTGCTTCTCCTCCTCTTCTTCCTCCTCCTACTTCTTCTGTTTCTCCTCCTCCTGCTTCTTCTCCTCCTGCTGCTTCTTCTGTTGCTTCTCCTCCTCCTGCTTCTCCTCCTCCTCCTCCTCCTTCTTCTGCTTCTCCTCCTCCTCCTGCTTCTCCTCCTCCTACTTCTGCTTCTCCTCCTCCTGCTGCTTCTTCTCCTCTTCCTCCTCCTCCTACTTCTTCTACTTCTCCTCCTCCTCCTGCTTCTCCTCCTCCTCTTCCTCCTTCTTCTTTTCCTCCTCTGCTGCTTCTTCTCTTCCTCCTCCTCCTGCTTCTCCTCTTCCTCCTCCTCCTCCTCCTCCTCCTCCTCCTATTTCTTCTGTTTCTCCTCCTCCTCCTGCTTCTCCTCCTCCTATTACTACTTCTTCTGCTTCTCCTCCTGCTGCTTCTTTTGCTTCTCCTCCTCCTGCTGCTTCTTCTCTTCCTCCTCCTCCTCCTGCTTCTCCTCCTCCTCCTCCTCCTATTTCTTCTGTTTCTCCTCCTCCTCCTGCTTCTCCTCCTCCTCCTTCTGCTTCTTCTCCTCCTCCTGCTTCCCCTCCTCCTACTTCTTCTGCTTCTCCTTCTCCTGCTTCTCCTCCTACTTCTTCTGCTTCTCC